GCATTGAGGCCAGATGCTAAAAATAACAACGCAAACATGCCGAACAAACAAGATCAAGTAATGTTTTCTTTGCAAATTTAAATTTCAACCCAATTACGGCAGCAGCCAAAAAGATCGGTGGATCACGAGTGACAATAATGAATCTTTTGGGGAATATGGATATCTATGACACATTGTAGGGACGTCCATCCAAAATCTTTTGAGATCACTCAAACTAATCAAATAAACCCGCTGGTGTTCACCAATGTAAGTAGGAGCCTGTGGGGACCATGAATGTTTGTAGATAATTACATAGTAATCCAAATAGCTGAAGAGATGAATCAGTCTGGCCCAAAGCCGACCATTGCATCCCTACAGCTACAACCAATAAACTGAGAGACACCGAATCAGCTGAATACATTTGCATTGAGTTTTATTGATCTTGTGTTGGATTCGCGTCATATTGTTCAGTGTTCCTCTGAATTTGTTCTCCCTTTGTACAGATACAGGACTGCCCGACACTCACACATTACACTGCGCAGACCCGAGGACAAAGGAGCACCCTGATGCAATACAACGGACTTGCAGAGATATATATATATATATATATATATATATATATATATATATAGGTGACGCACACACACACACCCAGTATATCAACACACGTGTCCAGTTCCTTGTGACTGTTGACTCAAGTTGTGTTTGTACTCCGGACTTTCCTCTGGTGTATTTACACTGTGGACAACTAAACGGGTCGGGTCTGATCCCTTTGAATTCTTTTTTTTTTTACATTCTTTGTCTACTTACATTTGTGCTGTATTATTTTAGAGATATTGAAGACTGGAAACCGTACAAACGACACCTTCCATATTAATGTAGCCAACACAGTCCCGACTGCGCTCGTCCAGGTTGCAAAGAGCGACGGATCACAAATTGTGTGTGAATAAAAAAGGTCAGACAGGTGAGTTAGTGGCTTTAGACCCCTCAGGACGGCTCTTATACTCTTGACTAATTGTGTCATGGAAAGACACGGCATTGCCAAGGGGCAGAGTGTGAGTGTGTGTGTGTGTGTGTGTGTGCATGCGTGGAACACGATGCTGGTAGTGGAAGCAGGGACAACGCACCACCTGTCCGTCCATCCATGTGAGCAAAGACCTGCTGTCCCTTCAGCGGATTCATGCTTTTTCGCACACCAGCGTCGGGAAAAAAAAGGGGGGGGGCAAGAAATGTATGATTGAGCACGAACTGAAGAGCGTGAAGATGACCGGACGCACTTTTTGTGGTAGAGTAAAAAAATGTCCACCTCAGCGTGAACGGAGCGTTCAGCTGTTTTCGGGGCCTCAAAAGGTCCGGCGGCAAAATAAAAGAGGGTTTCCCGGAGCTCGCGTTAGGTAACGAGCCCTCCCAGCGGTCGTCCCCCCCCCCCCGCCGGCAGAACCGAACGCTCGGATGAATTTCACTGAGCCGCTCTCCGATCCGAACCCGGGCCGAAGGGCACTTTTAAGAACACCCCGTCGCGGAATGTGACTCACTTTTCAAAACGACTGTTAAATCAAGAAGAATGGGACCTCCTTTTCTCTCTCGGGGGGGGGGGGGGTCCGGTTAACACAAGAGATGACGCACACTCTTTCAAAAGAGCTGAAATACACGTCTCTATACCAGGACACACTGTTGGGTCACCCACCAAGGGTCCTGTACATCCTGCCATTTAAGCTTTGGATGGATAAAAAACAATAAACCCACCCAAATGGTCACCCCTGCGCTCCCTTATATAGGGCAAAACCGCGCCCCCAACTTTGCTATAGATCTTGAACCCCCCGGAGGAAAACTCGGGCTCTCATCCTGTTTTCTTGGACATCCCGGGTTGAGGGTTGTTTCCGCCAACTTTGAATCCCTGAGGTTTAAAGAGGCGTTCCGGCCCGCTCGCCCCGAGAGAGATTTTGACGCTTTTCTCTGACCCGAAAAGCCCCACTTTGTTTTAGAGATGTGTTTAATATAAAGTGAAAGAGGAAAACTGGCTTGTGGGGGGGGGGGGGCATTTATTTGCTTTTTGCTCCGCGTATAAAAAGAACTAAAAGATCCTCTCTGCACACGCAAAGAACATGAGCCAGGTGAGGTTAAAGGTTTCGTTTTCTGTGTGTACTGAAATAAATAAAAAATAATTCCCATGCCAATAGTTACTTATCATTTATTGTTTTTTTTCCGTGCAAACAGCTTCTCCTGACTGACGTCACAACCGACGGCAGGAACTAAGAACCTCCAAAAAAAGAGACATGAGGTTGAGAGGGACGCTCCGGACAGACACGGAGACACATGCGGACAGAAAGGGAGGGCGTGTAATAGACTCTCTGCACTCTGGGAAAGGAGGCCGCATCCTGGCGGACGTGCGCGGGAGGCCAGAAATCCCATTAGAGACGATCAAAATTCAAAGGGGAAGCATGCGCAGCCTGAAATCTATTCCTGTCAGCACTGAGTAGATAGCAGAGATGGGCTAAATTGAGGTATTCTATTTCGGTGGGACGAGGGTGAGGGGATGGAAAGGACGAAAACAGCAGAGGATGGACGGGGGGGGCGGGAGCTTTAATGCGTTTTCGTAGAGAACCAGTGGCCTCTTGTTAACCGTTTGCGCTCGTTTTCCCATGAAAGTTCCAGTAGATCCTAAAGCACCGTCCTTTGTCAGACATCCTTGTTAATCAATCACGGAGGGTATTTTTTTTTTTTCAGAAAGCAAAGGTTCTTTCCACTACGGAGCAGCTCTCACGCGTTCATGGGTACAAACAGCCGACTGGGACTGAGGGAAACCAGTGCTCGTAAACCAACACAGTGGGACCAGCCGAACAAAACGGCAGAAGCTCTGAAAAGCTCCGCAGGGCACAAGAATGTTGTCTTTTCCCTTTGTCGCTGTGGGGAGGGCAGGTGGGCGCCAGGACCCCCTCTCTGCTCGGCGGGACCCCGGGATCCACCGTTTGTCCCGGGGGCGTTTGTTTCCTCTCCGCCCGCTCGCGTTTCCTCACATCGCCTGAGACCAAAGAGCTTCGGCCGAGGGGGGATGAGACCACGAGGGGAGCTGCCTGGATCCCAGGAGCCCCTCTGGAGCGCTGCGAGCCACCGCCATCGGTCCATCCCCTCGGCTGAAGGGTTGCGCTTTTAAATTAAAGACGGGGGGCCCTTCGGTTTTGTGGAAAGAGTAGAGAAAGTCGGGGAGGCCCGGTCAGTATCCCGCTACGCAAAGCTAATTACACTGGACTTGGCAACCGGCGCTAAACGCGCGCCCAGCCTCGAAAAAAACATTTAGTTCCAGAGTGTTTGAAACCAGGGGCCACACACACACACACACACACACACACATTAAATCACTTTCAAAATGAGAAAAGAACTAAATCTCCCCCTTTCCAATAGAAGCCTGGATTTAAAAGCAATAAAACACACCGTTGCTCGGGTGTTTAGCTGCTCGCAGCCTTGACTTACTTGCTATGGCCATTAGCTCAACGTGGCTAATGTTAGCTAGCAGTTTCCTGTATAAACAACCATAGCTGTGACAATAGAACGTAACTTTTCGCGTCGCGCTGAGACCAGGGAACATGTTTCTGTGCTTCTGCTCGCGGTTCCAATTCCTGTAACCTACGAGGTTCCTTTTTTTTCCACTTAAATTCGGAAAATAAGCTTATTTGGTTACTACACTTGTGTGTCACTCCATTAAATATGAATATATTTATAATATGAATTCACCGTGAGGACCAGCTTTGAAGGACTATGAAACTGGGCGGAAACTGAGTCACCGTCAGCAGACGTTTCATTCAACACACCTGATGATATATAATTAACGCGGAGGTTCCTTCAGGTTCTTCTTATTAGGCCGATCCTGTTTACATGAGTCACGGGGGACTTTATGAGCAGTGTTCTGCTTCATTCATTAGCCATTCAAAAACAAAAGATACCTCTATAATGGTCTGAGAGCTGCAACTTAGCTACACTCATTCATTTATTATTCATCCGCGGCTTTCTTTAGAGCTCAAGGGATCTAAAAATACACAAACCTGAATGCATCCGCCCTCTCGGACATGAATAAGCACTAATGAGGTTGTATAATTTTTAAATGGAGACATCTCGCGTCTTTCTTTTCAAAGAGATAATGTTTTTCTTCCTTCTCACAACCTTATTGATTTGTCCGTTTGGGAATTGCAGAGAATAACGAGCGCTCTCTGCACCGTCAGCACAGACACCCTAAAAACAGCCGGTGTTCCATAGACCTACTTTGGTGGATGTTTTCAGTGTGCATGAGAAAGCTGTTTTTTAACAGCGGGGTAACTCCGATTTTATGCACATATTCACAGTTTAAACAGACGGCACTGTTGCTTGAAAAAGAACATACGAGGATTCCCCAGAATCCCCCCAAAAAAGACGCCTGAATGCCCCAAAAACAGAATGTTTTTTTGAGTGACTCGCCAAAATAAAATCACATTTCTTAGCAGCACATTCAGCTCCGGGGTAAAAAATCCTTTCCGCGTCTAAAGCCAGCGAGACGGTGAGTCACACTTGAATCACAGAACCACCCGGGCTCCCTGATACGACTCCGGGGATGACCTGTGCAGGAAAACGCTGACCCCGCTGGGACAATGAGAGGGGAAAACCACGACGTGATCGCCGAGGAGTGAATTCAACGTGACAGGCGGACGGCAACGGGTCGATTTGTGCGATTCTCATAAACTGCCACTGGGATTTCAATCCGTGGCCTTGAGCTCTCCAACGCATTAGTCAGCATATTATTATTATTATTATTATTATTCACATCAAGGCTCATTGCCTTCTCCGCTGCAAGAGCCCAGAAACCCCGACCTGTCGTCCCGCCAGTGAACGCACCACCACATCCTCGCTACGAAGGTCTATCTTGACAGACGCACATTGTTTCTATCGAGTGTTTACTGCGTTGTTGACAGACGCGACACTGATGATGATGATGATGATGATGATGATGATGATGAGCATGTGAGTGTGCGTGCGCGATGTTTTCATCTTACCCGGATTCTCCTCATGGCGGCCACGATCTCCATCCGACTGCTGGGCCTGGGCACGTCCAGACACCCCACGTACTGAGGTAAACCATCGCACACACACACACACACACACACACACACACACAGACACACACACACAGTCCAAGATGTTATCACACACACATTACAGCGGCACACACTCCAAAGTGGAGTGTTTTGGTGTTTTTATAAAAGACAAATACCGTGTACACTGTCTACAATATGCAACAATGGGAACAGTAAACAAAAACAAGACAAACTGCCTCCGTCATGAGCTCTTTGTCTATTTTGGTAATTACGCAGCTGTAAGGATTGTGTTGCTTTCGTTGAGATGCATTTTATGTTTGGAAGTGACTAACGATGAGGATTCATCTTTGTTTTAATTGGCTTTCATATTACCCACTTGTATCCATTTGGCATGTCAGGGCGTATTAATAGTCAAGTCATTCATTGAAATATCATTTTCCATGATGTTTAAGGAAGGTTGGGTCACGGATAGTTCTCGGTCCCACCTGCCCTCAGATCGTTTCCTCCTGCCGCTGTGCTTTTGTTAAAGTTGTGCGAGCAGGCTCTTGTATTGTTTATGTTTGTTTTGTGTTTCACTCTGTGGAGTAAATAAATGATGAGGAAGAAAAACTAAACGACCAGATGAGAACGCTGCTAGACAAGCAGCCCAAGACGCACAACACCGCAGCCCAAGACGCACAACACCGCAGGCCAAGACGCACAACACAACAGCCCAAGACGCACAACAGGCCAAGACGCACAACACAACAGCTCAAGACGCATAATACAACAGTCTATGATGCTCATCTCTACTTGACCAAGACGGCACAACACAACAGGCCAAGACGCACAACACAACAGGCCAAGACGCACAGCCCAAGACGTTACAACACAACAAGCCAAGACGCACAACACAATAGTCCAAGACGCACAACACAACAGCCCAAGACGCACAACACAGCAGCCCAAGACGCACAACACAACAGCCAAAGACGCACAACACTACAGCCCAAGACGCACAACACAACAGCCCAAGACGCACAACACAACAGCCCAAGACGCACAACACAACAGCCCAAGACGCACAACACAACAGCCATGCCAAGTGACCTTTGGACTGGAATGTTTTCCCCAGATTCTCTCCTCGGCATAAAGTAACACATCGGTGTGTGTGTGTGTGTGTGTGTGTGTGTGTGTGTGTGTGTGTGTGTTTGTCACTCACGTCTGAATGCTGCTAAGCTGCTTCCCTGAGAGGTTAATAATTCAACTACCTGGAGGGGGAACCTGAAAATACACTCAGTTCACTTTTGAGCTCTAAAAATAAAAGACATCTCGCTCAGTTTTAAGGGATATATATAAAACTACAATTCCCCACTGGCCCTGCAGCACTAGAGCGCGCGCACACACACACACACACACACACACACACATTGGAACTTCACGGTGGCTCCCAGCTGAAGGGCTCCGGTGCACCTGCTCCGGGACCCTGCCTCCGCGGGGGGGGTCGCTCACCTTGGCCTGGAAGGAGATGCCATGGTGGTACGCCTCGTCGTTGTGCAGCGGCAACCTCGAGTCCTTGACGTCGTCCACCAGGTTGTACCTGTTCCGCGCGGGCATCGCGCTCGGTCACCTCTCCCCCCCTCTCTCCCTACTCTCTCCCTCCCTCCCTCCCGGCACGGTGCTTAACGGACAAACAGAGAAGTGAGGACCGGGTTCGAGACCCTCTCCTCCCCATGCGAGTCCCCGGCGGAGCCGCAGTCCATTGTTGTCCTTTGCGCTCCAGCGGGGTCGCGTCCTCGAGGGAGAGAGGGACCGGCTCGAGCGCCCCCCTTTTCTCCCGCCGTGACAAATGCAGCGAGACACGGATTCCCTTTCCCGGGAGGAGCGTGTTTCTCCCCCAAAAGCTCCCGGTGGGTGTCTGGCTGGGGGGGTCCGGCGTAAGGAAGCGGCGGTGTTGCCTCTTGCTGCCGGTGGGTTCGTTCCTTTTCCTTCCTCTTCTTTCTCCTTTTTGAATCTCGTCCTGTTGGTGGCGAGCAGCGCTGCACCCGTCGTCTCCCTTTCTCCCCCCTCAAAAGCACAACGCGGGCCGCTCATTGGAGCAAAGTTCCCCGGCATGATGCAACCTGGAGCTGCGCGGGGGGGCCGGTCCCAGTCCCCCCCCGGGGGATTTCATTTATGTCTTGCTGGGGAACCTGTGGAGGATTTAGAATCCTACAGCCAAGTAAAGCTACTAAGTGGACCAACATGGTACATTCTAAGATGTTATTATAAGACATGGACATATTTATGAGACTTTAAGTACATTTAGTTGACAATTATACTCCTAAGAATTCTGAAGTACTTAAATGATGTACTTTTACTATTCATTCTACTGAAAATGACTTTTTGCTCCACTACAGTTATTTCGCAGACAATTATTTTGTATGTTTTAGCATTTCATCAAATCTGAGGCAGTGAGCTACATGATAAGTACACAAAACCGTCTGAACTCCACCTCAACGTCAAAGTATCTATTTAATACTGACGGGGGCCCATTCTGCATCATGCGTATAATTTCTCATACATTTAGTCGTTTCAGTGTTCTGTATACCGTTGATGAGTATGTAGAGTTCCTTTTCCTCCACTTTCTCCAGTAAGGGAGACAGAATATTTCGTCATCTTATTTAACATTCCCTGAATTTGACAACTTGTTTTCGTTCCAGATCAAGGTTTCGTTTTCCTCGTTGCATCATGCAGTGATTCCTCTGCAGGCAAAGAGCCGGGGGCTATTTCTTCTCAATGTAAAAGGCGGCTTTCAGCTCGTCTTTCGCTCCTCAGCACCGAGTCCAGACGATGATGATGATGATGATGATGTACAGATGGGGAAGAGTCATGGCACAATCCTCATTTGGTCATTTCCACCGTCCTTGAGTTTCTCCCACAGGGGCCCAGTGACTCCATTAGATAACAGCGGTTCAGTTCTTATGACGGGAAAATGGCATCTCTGCTCAGACAGTCGTTTTGCTCTTTGCTGGTAATGAAGTTCTCATGATGCTCAGCCTTTAAAGAGCTTCCTCCTCAGTTGCAGTCACATTACATCTCCAGCTGCTGGTATTAACATTAATCCTGTGGACGTTCAGGCCAATAAAGGTCCTTCAAGAGGAGCATCGCTGTTCAATTCCAACAGAAGAAGGGCCATTCTCTAACAGTAGCAGGAAAATATTACATAATTAACTAAATAATCGGTTCAACACGTTCAGTATTTAAAGCAAATACATATTGTTGTAATAATGCAATGGCGCCCTCTGTTGATTTCTCACCATGTAACTGAAGTCAAAATGTATTTTCAGTTTCCAGTTCTGTTTTGAGATTAAAAGCAGGCCAACATATAAAAGAAAGAGCTTCTTCTACAGGACAGTGGGTAACGTTACAGTGCAGACGGACTTATACGGACTAATCCTGGCTAATCCAATGAATTAAGATCTGTTAATATAAGAAAGAGGTCACTAAATCCCCACAATCTGTACTCACACGACAGCAAGATGGAAAGATTATTGGCTTTAAGGTGAGAGAAGATGCCTCACCGGGGAAGAATAATGCTGACATAATGCAGTATTAATGAAATGCAGAGAGGTGTTGATCATAAACTTGATTAATTCATCAAACGGGCACTTGTGGAAAACAAACCTTTAAAATAGCCTTTAGCCTCATATTGTCTATAAGATAAAATCATAATAATACAAGTAAAATATGAAAATGGGGTTAAAGGGTTATGGGCTTGTTCATGTGGAAAAGGAGAAATAGAAAAGTCATGCAGAACTAATATTTAGTATAAAAAATATAAAATAAGCGCATTTTATGGAAAAATGATACAAAACAAAACCCTTTACTGTCCATCAGCCTGAAAACGAGGCCTTTCAAGCCTTCTTTGTATCCAGTCGCCTGCATCCCATTTGTTCTCAAAGGGATCAATAGGACAGATATATATATATAAAGATATAGTTTGGCATTCGGGGAATTACATTATTAAATGCGCTGGAGAATCCAAATTCATTACCACTCCTTAATCTTTAATTAAAGAAAAAACACTGAGAGATATTCCATCTTTATGAAGGTTGGTTACTCTAAAGAATTTGTGTCAACTTGGTTGAAGTTATCTTAATGAATATAGAGAATTTGTATCTGTATATGAGGCAGAAATATGCCCAGGGAACCGGCATTTGATTTAATTGGTATTGGTCTGATATAAATACAGGAATGGCTTTAATTTCAAGTATCTTTTGTGTCAAATAAACACATTTTATTACTTCAAACAGTGTCGCTATTGTGTCCTCTAAACCAACACAAATTAAGTAAATGCTTTATTTGAATCTTCAGGGCTAATTGCTGCAACAGCAATCCAGTTTCCGTAGCAACAGTCCTGGTTTTAAGTGGCATCCATGACATCATTTACACGAGGAAGACAAAGTAATGAAAGCATCTCATTAAGATGGACTGCCTCTGATGCAGCTTAATCCCAATTACAAACATTGTGGGTCACATTATGTTGGATACAAATTAATGGCATTTATGTGCTGTTAAAAAGATCTGAATCCACTGTGATATGTGAGTTTCTCAAAGCAACATAAACCGATATCCAAAGAGAGGAAAACGGTGCTCAAATCACGAGTGTAAAACACAATAACTTCTCCACTCAAAAATCAATCTGCACAATTTGAATTGTTTGTGCTGCAGCTGTATAGTAGTTGTAATAGTAGCAGTAGTAGCTGTACTAGTAGTAGTAGAATGAATTGTAACGTTGTAGTGCATATTTATATATTGTGAATTTTTTAGTGAGGGAAAAAAGACCAAGTGCCTTTATCTTTAAATGTCTTGTGATTTATTTGAAGGATCTGTTTTTATTGGTAATTCTTACATTCAAAGTTTACATTGTATATCAGCACTCGCATCTATCTGAATAATAGCACTTAAGAGCCACGGCGGTCACAAGAGAAGAGAGACATGCTTTGTACGCAACTACAATTAAGCATGCATGATCTTTTTATATTTTTAGCTAAAGGACAATGCCCCAATGTCATTAAAATGTAATCCACTGTGGGCTTTTGGAAATGCCAAGTTATCGTTGGGTCGACCAATCTTAGGGCTCAACAACATTATTTCATCCTCATATAAGGGTTTTGTGTTTTGTTGACTTCCTCCTGTTTGGTTTTAATCAGAGATCCACAAAAAAAAAAGGATTAAAACTCTTAAACTCAGATGTTCATGAAGTTTTCACCACGTAAATCACATATAGACAGGTGAGCTCAACAAGATAATATAAGCTTGAACTTGTACAGGTCAATCTGCTGGAATGGATGTTAAGCAGATATGATGCTTCCCATTCACTCTTCAGCTTATTAGTGTGCTCAAATTTGCTGAAAAGCATTAAGCATGATGCTGATGGGAGCGTAGCGTGCAGGAGACAAGTTGGATCATAAAAGAATTCATCCCCATAAAAAGGATCAAAATCATAATAAAGCTGGACCACGACAGTAGTAGCAATTTTCTTTAATTCACTAATCGATAACAGGATGAGGATTCACATCACAACACATATCATACAAATATCTCTCACAGCAAAATGTGCACTCGACACGATCAACCATCACAAACCACAAGAGTCTCGGAGGCATTTCACCGCAATAAAATACACTTGGATGGATGTTTGTGGACAAAGAACGCTGTTTATTTTATTTAACATCTTACCAAAATGGTAAAGTGTGTGTGTGTAGTGTCGGGCTGTAGCGCACTGCTGGTGTGTGGTGCTTTGTCCCTTGTTGAAGCTGGTTGCACATGAATGAAAGTCATTCACACTCATGCTAGTTAGCGTACATCTGTGATCTACGCTTCAGTCTACTTAGCACGTTGTACAAGTGTGACACCTGAGAGCTGGTGGTAATGTGTGACAGATCCAGCCGGTAAAAGGCTACCGGACAGAAACCGCTGTAAGAGGTACGTGTAAACAATTATTCCCAAAGCGCCCCTACCGACGACGACACGACACAGACACACATCGTACACTGCTGACCGCTGCATACCTCACTTCCGTGACGAAGGCAACGCGTGGCTTTGGTGAATGTGTGAATGCGGACCAATGTCCCGCCATTTAATATTGAATGTATGTTGGTAGAATGCACCAAGTAAGACTCAAAATCAACACAACACATTTTCGGTAAAAGATTCTAAAGCCCCAAAACAGACACGTTTTTAAAAGGATGCACGCGGCTACCGGCTACTTGATCACGAGGAACGATACGTTAACAACGTCACACATGCACTGAAAGCTTTTATTTCCCTCCGTAAGAGTCCATGCTACCAAAAGTATAATGCCAGAATACTAAAAAGGCAAAAAAAGAAGATGGATGAGCAATAACTGTGTTTGTCTTTGGGTACACCAGATACATTCCCATTGTTACACTTATTCATAATGCCTTTAACATTTAAAAATCGGTGTCGTCTGCGTCGTGGCTTTAAAGTCTCTCTCTCGCTTTCCAACGAAGGTACATTCTGCGATTCTAATACAGGGAGTCACGAAAGGAAACCTGTGGGACTATTTACAGATATGGTGATTCATGGTGAACGGACCTCTCTGAATCACGGCCTCAGAGTCATAGCCAATAACCCGAAGAAGCATTTTACAATCACATCGAATTCTATTGGGAATTCCCGAAAGGCTCTTGGGCGAAAAAGACGTAGCTCACTTTTTTTGCTACAGGAAGGGGTGTACGAGTGACCGCAGCAACAAAACAACAAAGGGAATAAAATAATAAATACAATCAATGACAAGACCATAAAAACAAAGCTTACAGTTTAAGATCTTGGGAGTCTTGATAAAAGATCCCAATTACACCCCGGGTAACAAATAATGGACACGATCCAATCTGCTTGGATATTTAACCGGCCCGGAGAACGATAATGCAGCAGCCTCCAGGAAATAAATAAACTCAGTGTCGTAGTTATGCAGTGACAGGATCGGGAAAGAGGGAAAAGGAGCATTGGAGATGGATGGCGGGCGCCTCACTCCGGAGCCCCGCTGGCCGTTTCCGTCATCCTCTCTTCGTCCCCCTGTTTCTGATGCTGCAGCCTGGCGTACGTCACCGCGTCCCCCCTGAGACAGGGAGGGAAAAGGGGGACAGGAGGCGAGAGGAGGAGGGTAAGCAGGAGACGGGGAGAAACAAAGAGAAGGCAGGTATGACGGGAGAGGATGACAATGTTAACGTGCGACTATTACGCGGATCACCTTGTCAGTTAATTTGCATCAGTAAAGAGACTCATTGGGGTTGTTAGAAGCACAAGATTACAATCGTATTAGCGATTATAACGTGAAGTACTGCATTTAATGAGAGCCTGTTTTAATGTAACCTTTTAGTGGAATGTTATTATGAGTGAGACATTGAGGGATATGATTAATCACAGAATGTCTGCATTGAACAGTTGAGTACTGAGTGCTTAAGTCTTAAAATAGAATTAAAGAATTAAACCCCCAGTATACTACATTATGACAAGTTCTAAGTAACAGACATCTTACTTTTTGCCTAAAGACGCGAGTCCGTACAGGACTCCGGTGGCGAAGGCGATGGCGTTTCCAAACAAGGTCGTAAAAGAGAAACGCAGAAGAACGGGAAATATCGCCATCCTGGAAATGACATCGATAGACAAACACAACAAGTCAGGAAGTCATTTCACGTACATGCTGAGGTAGAAAAAACACATTCCCAGAATAGACGGTGCAACGTGAATCCCTGTGAGGAGTTCACGGTCTGCAGTGACACAGACTGTGCAGCGTAGCGCTTCTCACCCACAGTAGAAGAAGGCTTTCTGCCACGGTTTGAATTTGTCTGCTCGGGCTGCGATCGCATTGGCAAACTCTATGAACTGGCAGCAGAACGGGACTTCACACAGGAACAGCACGAAGGCGTTCAACCTTGAGACAGGAGGAGAGGACACAAACGCACCCGTCAGTTACCTTGTGTTTAAAACACAAACATGAACCGTTTCACCTCACATCACATAAAGAAAACAATTCAAGAGCATTTTTCTAGGAAATGAATATAAATAATACAGTTCATAAACAAAACTAGCAGTAGATTGTTTGTTGATTGTGGTTTATTGATGGATAATCTTTTAACCATGTGGGGAAGAAAAGCAGTCATGACAGGTTTTTTTGCTGTTCAGCAAAATCTTCTTTCTGGGGAAATTGAAAAAGCTCTAGCGATGCAACGGGCAGATACAGACATGACATAACCAAAGAAAAAAAGAGACACATTCCGGCTTCCCGGTGTCTTTGGTGAGTGTCCAAAATGAGAGATTGATTGATTAGCCCCCAATCATTGCAGCCGGTCTAAAGGAAATGAAGGGAGAGAGTCTACCTTGTGATTTTTTCCCAATCTTTGTTTCGATCCAGCATGTTAGCTCCCAATTATTTGTCAAGAAGTAAAACAAACCATAATATAAATGGTAAATATGCAGCAAAGCCGTGGTGGATCTTTGATATCTAAAGACACGTTGTATGGGACTGTCAGTAGATGTTTAGTGAAACGCTAATAGCACGAGGTCACATGTGTGTCCCAGTTAAAACGAACTTAAGCAAAACCAATTAAAGTATTGTCTTTTCCAATAGATTCAATTATTATGAGGATGTTTAAAACAGAACAGTCACTGTACCTTGTGACCTGAGCTAAAAGGAAAAATATCAAGCAGCATTTTGAACAGTATAAATGAGTAGTTTGTTATTTGTTTTACCTGGAATACACACAAGGTAAGAAATGTCTGAGACTATAGAATGTGAAGGAGCTATTCGTGTATGCTACATTTAAATAAGCGTAAAGAGGGCTAGACTTACACCATCCACACGCCGGCAGCAATGTTCAACGGGTTCACGGTGACACAGTTCCACACTCCTGCGATGGCACAGGCTGCAGAACCACAAAACAAAGTCAAAGGGTAATTATCAAGACACAAGTGGTATATACACAGAATGAGGAAACAAATAACATCCTGGACTCATATATGATGGATGAAAAACTATCATCACATATGCTAAGGCTGAACATTAGTTAAGCCATATGAAATTTTATGTAAAAATCACAAAAAGACACATTTTCCATTCACAAGATTCCTTTCATGATACTCTGATCAGTTTCAATGTATCATTTTCTAGCTTTCCCCAGGGAAAGCTGCCCACACCCATACGTGTTAAACCTATTGTACATGTCCCTGTGTGCCTCATACCACTGTCTGACTATCCGCTGTCACTTATAAATTGTGAAAAATTCAATTCGACATGTGGGAATATTTGGTGGTTCCTGACATAATGTGTGATATGGCACCATCACACATTGCAAAAGCAATTAGCACCATACTAGTAAGCCTACCTAACCCGTGACAGCACTCAAAGTATCAAAAAATCCTCCCTTGTATTCACAGTAAAATGTGAGAAAGCAGAGACGCCACAGTGAGAAGAGAGGATGCATACGCCTGGTTTTCTTCGGGATCTGATCGCTGCCACCAACAGTGGAACAATGCACTACGTCTCAGTCCCTCAGACCCTCCGGCCTCCTCAATAATACAGAGCCCATTGAATATGCACTGCTCCGCTCGGTCGATGTGACACAGGAGCCGGGACTCTGGTGTCACTGGGAAGGAGAGCTGCGATGCTGCTGGAAAACCTGCTTCTCACGCCGACTGCGAGGGTGAAAGAGTACAAGTACCCGCAGTGTGTACATATCATGTTGTTTTGATTGAGGAATAACACGATGCCATGAAGTGAGGCAGCTGAAGTGGGGGGGCTTTAACAAAGCTTTTGTCTGTCTCTCTGTCCTGTTTATACTTTAACCCTCATAATAACAGGGGGAAAGTACACACAATAAGTATAAACGCAATAAATCCCCCCTGCTCGTCACACAAAGTAGCACAAACTTCACGTCACGACAGACTCAAGAGTTCCCCTCGCATCGTATGAAGCAGGATTTTGGATACTCGGCGGCTTGTCAGTTATTTAAGTTATAAAATGAAAAAAAGTGCCATCCACTTACACACTCCTCCCAAAACTCCGGCTATCTTGCAGAGCCATCGGTACCACCACGTCATGCCATCGTCCTCCGGGGAGGCTTTGGTGGAGGCTGCGGTCTCCGCCTCGGGGCTCATCGCGTTGTTGTAGCGACGTTTAGCTGAAGCTAACAACAAACAACTGCTAAACTAGATTATTACGACACGGCGGAACCTATCGCGGAAGGGAATAGAAAAAAAATAAACTTTTGGAATATTTTTTTTTGAATGAGCTCTTCTTTCCTTTTGTTTTGTTTGTGCCCAGCTGCTTTTCACACCGCCCCCTCCCCCGTCAGTCAACACTAGCTAACCGGCTAGCTAATGCTAAAGAGCACCGCCACCCAGCTGCCGCTAGGAGTGGATATCACCTCTGCATCTGTACTAAGCTCTCCGGCAGTATTATAAACGAGCAAAAACAAGCATGAACTTTCTTTTTTTTAAATAAATAATATCATAGCGTGTCCGGCGGCCCGGCGGTGTGTGTGGGTGGATGCTCCGTTGTTCTCCTCTCTGGCTGCTCAGCCGATGAACGCGGTGCATTGTGGGAGCTTATTAATGCGCGTCATGGTTTGTTTACATGCAGGGAGGGCTGAGAGCAGCCGGCTTGGACTCGTGATGCATATTGTACAATACTTTTTTTTCCAGGATTCAGGTCTCACGTTTGTGCCTTTTATGTGCTACATTACATTTGGGTCAAAATAATCGCTCCTTTCCCAAATAAATAACCGGCGAACTCTAACAAACAGGTCGAAACAGGGTTTACTTGCTGCAAGCATCCGCAGTGCAATGACGGTAACAAAAGGAGAACATTTTGACCTCACCTAATTTGTCCAATGCAACCTGCTGAAGCCTGAATACAATTCAGATGCATTGTGAATCGTGATGAATTTGAAAAGAAGTGATTGAATCCAGTTAGATATTAAGACCGGCTCGAAACATTGAGAAACTATTCTTTGAGATAGGAAAAACAAACCAAATTTCACCAGCACCTATTCTTTTAAAACAAGACTTTTCTTTTACCATTCAATATCCAATTCATCTTTAATCCCTCATTCACACTTTTATATACACAACACACAAAATCACTCAATATCCATAGACGTTTTTTTGCAAAGAAATCCATGTCCACTTGAATGGTTTCTCACAGAAGATTTCTGTTAAAGTGCCTGTCAGGACTTGATTACTCATCAAAATCTGGATAAGAATGGCAAAAAAAGACCAGAAATCCAGTCTGCATCTCTGTTTAAGGAGAGGTAGGTGCATTAATATGGACAATGTCCACTTTAACCAGTCAGTGGTTTTGGCTGATGCCAGCATTTAGTGAGAGCAGGCTTCAATCACTCCGACAGCAGAGTGGACTGAAGAGACTTCGGATTCCTTCGTCTGGTCTTTCTGTCCGTCATATTCAGCTCTGGTTTCCTCTTCCCCGTGGGTGTGTGGCAGAGCATGCCATCGAGGGTCTGCTGGGTCACCTGATGGGCCCGCTCAAGATTAGTCACTATCTGCTCCACTTCCATCGCGTGTGCACCGCCCTCACTCCTCAAGCGCAGCAAATCCACCTGCAACAGATCGCGAGAGGTCACCGAGCAAACTAGTTCACAGCAGTTTTATTGTGATTTAGATATATATCTCCACATTCATCCTGCTTTGTTCCCAGATGAAACATTTACATTCAAATTAATATTAACTACAATAATATGTTGAAACATTTAATAACTGCATCCACAGCTTCTTTTTAGTCAACATCTGCGTTTATGAGGACAGTCCGACTTACCACCTCCTGAGAAAAGTCAAGCTTCTTCACAAAAGAAGGGCTTTTAGGCAACACGGCGGCCGACAGCACAGAAACAGCATCCGTCACAGCTCCTGACATCGTTAGTATTGTGACCTAAATTTATATTAAAAAAATATTTTATAATTTAACAAAAAAGTGCAAGAAATAATGCAGGCTGCAGATACATGAGCACACTTACCTTCAGATTTTGGCACAATCTGCTGTCAGTGACCATTATCTGTGAAAACAACGACTGGGCCTTTTCTATGTCATTCTGGAACAAATACAAGACCCAGAAAAAAAACCCACGATTGATCACATAAATCTTAGGACATTCTTCAAATGAAATGCTTAGAGGAAGAAGACACGACTCACTTGTCTAAGTGCCAAAGCTACAGCAAAGCAGTGAGCGTGTCTGGGGACGGCGTTGCCTCTGGTCTGTCCCTCCTCTATCAGAGCAGTGCAGATCCTGTAGGAGTCCGCCGTGTTCTGACCCACACAACACAGAACATTAGCAGATTTTAATAAGATTTTGCATCCTGAAACATAAGACGTTAAGGACTGTTATGTTAAAATGGACTTGATAATGATGTATAGGTTAAGTACCAGCTTATAGCAGGTGCCAGCTGCCAGTGTCAGTGTGTCCTTGTTGAATGGTATACCTTGGGCCCTCATGGTTCTAAGTAGCTCCAAGGCTTCTGCAATAGACGGTGTTGGGAGTATTAAACATATATGCTGATAATTTCAGAAGAAAAATGTTTCGGGACACTTACTTTCAAAAGAGCCTTTAATGAATAACATGTCTATGGTGATGTTAAAGGAGGTTGCGTCATTGAAAAATCCCCCCATATTCTGTTTAGACAAGCGGGAGAAATGGGTACCAAGTTTAGTGCAGCTCTTATAAAAGCATAGAAGCGCTCGTCAGTAATAATGGTGAAACACTTCACCTTATCTGTAAGTGTAGCGGCAGCCAAGCTCTCCAGGCCCAGCTCATAGCACAGTCTCACAAAGAGTGGACCAAACTTGAACTCTCCAAACATCAAGTTCCTGTTGTCTGTGTGATACCTTGTGATTGCAAAAAAAAGAAAACATATGAAGAATTCAGCAACTTAATGCAAGATTATAGTCATAGTTGTTTTGCTGTTGAAAGTGTGTAGAATCTCGTTTCCCTCTTTGAAGTGTTTGTCAAAGGCGATTCAGACAAAGAGAAGAGGATACACATCAAACATGTTTTGGTAATAAAAGATGTAAATGACCTATAAATGGCATCCCTTGCTATCAGCACGTCATCGGCGGTCTGGCACAAGTGAAGCAGAAGTTTCAGCTCTTCCTTCGGAATCAGCTCATTTCTTTGTAGCCTCTTGGTAAATAGCTCGATATAATTTCCTGTAAAATGGTGTTTGGAATATGAGCTCTCACTGAATACATCTTCACAAATGACATAATGCTGCAGTAGCTCTTCACCTTTTGATCCAGTGACGAGATGAGCCACAGCCAGCTTTCTCTGCTGGAAGTCTTGTAGTTTGATAACATCTTCTGACAACAGATGCCTCTTAGCTGCAGAGAAAACCAGAACTACTGAAGTAAAAGTACTACAAAACTACAAAAGAAATTCAAAGTTATGCATTCAATTAGTACAGGATTCAAACAAAAATCTACTTGTAGTTTGAAATGAAAATATAAAAAAAAATAAAAGTATGCAGTGGCCCACTTCAGAGTAATATACAGCATATACTATTGTATTATAATTATTGATGCATTAAAGTGAACTTTTGAATGTTTCGGTAATTACGTGATAAAGTACTGGGTTGCTTAAACTATAATAATGTGTATACATCTATCATCTAAGTATTTAGTTGTGTTACCTGAAGGAATTACATACATGTTAGTGTCGTAAAAAGAACAATATTTCGAATGTTGTGCAGTAAAAGTACAGAATGAAATTGCATAAAGCATCTTTGTAAACATGTGGGTTATTTCTTTACCAGCTAACGTAGCTTCTCTCAAAAAACAGACATTTTTAAGGTTACAGACACGGAAACATATCGATGCGTTACCTCCTACGCGACCTTCAATCCAACCTGGCTGCAAAACACCACAAAAGGCCACTTTGGAGGGATCCCGTCCGAACGACCGACAACATTTACCGAGCCCGGCCAGCGCCATACTGCCCACTGACCGTACCATGCACATGAAAACCAAGGGGGGGCCATCGGAAGGATTAGAGAGCTACATAACGCCGATTTATGCCCAACTACTAATAAATGCAATATGATGCGCTGGTTTATTGTACGTGATGTAACCTGGATACGATAGAGTCTGTGACCTTTCCTAAACTTCGCTTTAATGCGGGTGATACGAAGTACTCAGATTGGTATCATCCAACATGGCAGCGCCCTGTGACGCGACGTAGGAGCGGTGTACAGAACTTTATAATTCTACATCATTCATGTTAGAGACTTTTTTTTCTCTTCTAGTTTTAAATTGAAATTGTGTTATTTATTTTTTTAAACTTAAGCAACTTGCTTAATCTGCACAAGCATTTTCTTTTACCATAAAAGTGTTTATTTTATGACCTACAGGTGGCGCTGTTGTATTACATGTTAAATACGTTTTGACAATATCCTGTGTGTTAAGAATGTGTGGTACAAAACATGAACCGTTTGGCCTGTCGGTGAATTTGGTTGTCATTGTTGTGCATCCTTAAAAAAGTATGTATTGTTAAGTAATTTATATTTTTTACAATAATTTCAAACTGTTTATACTGAAGGTTATATATATTATATTCATATCCACCTTATACAAAACTGTGTATGATATTTTCTATTTATATTGTCAACATGTTACTCTGCATTTAAGTGTTTTTTTTCTCCTGGTTTAATGCTAATCTGCAATTTCCTTTCTCAATACTTGCACTGATGTAAAGAAAATACAGTTACATCTAATCTAATCTGATCTGATCTAATCAACAGTTTATTCAAATATTTTCCTACATCCTTCAGCCTCGCCTCCGATTTCCATTGCAATTGTCCCTTATACTTTTCTACTCCTACCCACCTAAAGATTAATATTATTTCTTATTGTCTGCATTTCCATTGAGTTTGAGTCTGCCATTTTAGCTCCAATTGAAATTATACCCTGAGAATATTTTCTAAATTAATAATGGGGCATCTAGTTTTAAATGGGAGTACCTTTTCAGGCCTTGAAATGTGTCATTCAAGGCTACAGTGCTACAGATGACTATTGACACGTACTGTAACTTTGCTTTGTTCACCTGTCACACCAGATCCTTCAGATGCTTCACACTAGAGTCCCTACTGAAATTGTATTTTTGCACTGGGCTTGAATTATTCTCAAAACAAACTTCATATCATCCTTTGGACTTTTGAAACTATGTAGTTTATAAAGGCCATGATTTAAGACATGATAGCCAAATAGTTCAGAATCTTTGGTCCAACCTCGTGGTTAAGTAGGACCTTTTTTAAACTTTAAATCAAGTTACCTCCACTGTTTTAATAGGGGCAGCTGCAGTGAGCACCGAACCATGCCTCCACTCAATGTACCCATTGACCTACACAGCATTACATAACCAAGTGTGCCCTTGTGAAGGAGATGTTTTTGCCTTTTCTCTGTAACGTTGTGGTAATACACTTCATTCAGGTACGTCTTAGATTCATTGTCACTATGCCAACGTGTTTAGTGTCGGAACTCTGACAGGAGTAAAGTCTTATTCAGTTGTGTTATGGACATGCACACTATGCACATGTATATTCCATCATAATCTACTGTGCCTTTTCTTGTTTCTAAATGCAAAACGTATTGGTGACATGTGATTTCGCACGACAGGTTATTCTGTGTAAACATTAACGGTGAACCTGTGGGCACTTGGGGAAGATTCCTCACAATGATTGAGGTGCTTCTTAGTGACTCCAAAGATAGACTCGTGCAGGGAAAATAGGGCTGGGACAGGGAGTTCCCCACTGTTGCCCTGGCAACAAGATCTCAGGCGATCCAGCTGAGATTGCTCGCTCAGCCAATCAGACAAGGGCTTTGGATAATTCATGGTATCCTGTAAGGTGCATGTGTCTCTGTGGGTTTCTCTCTCTGTGCATGAATACGTGTTTAAATGGATTTAAGAACGGGTTTTATGGGAAATAGATCACCCGTACTGTAGATACAGTGTGAGGATTTGGTGCGGTAGCTCGAATAATGCAATGGTGCAGGGGACGGATTGCACTGTTTGAAGGGCGAAGTCTATTCATGCATTCACACTTTCATTTTCCTATAGAGGCTCCGCCGACAGATAGCAGCTCTCACATCTGCTTTGATTTGTTCCTGGATGCACTTCCCTTTGGTTTTGGAAAGCGCCTTGGGTGCCCCATCAGCATTAATTAATGTCCCGACTGAAACAGTTTTGGCACGGAAAATAGCTGGTAATCCCTTTGTTGGACTGTGTGCAACTGATCTAAAGTCGCTTTAACCCACAATTACATTTAAACCTACATCTATGTCAATAAAAATGACATAAATTTATACATTTATCCAATCAATCTTTTAATCTCTAATCTTTTGGGCTGCCTGTTGGGTTTGGATGAATAGTGGAGATGTTCTTTCCGTTGCATAACTACTGCAAATGTAATGTCCTATTTTAAAGGAGGACGTATAAAAGCTTTTACTAGTGTGCAGCACAGGCTGAAACAGCCCCGAGAGACCGGTCCAGACATCAGACATGTGGACCCTCACAGCAAATGGATGTTGAGTTGTGGAGACATGTCCTCTTAACATGCCCTGCTTTCTCAGGTAGTTTCCCCGGGGCGTCTGACGAGGTCCTCCAGTTCACTGCAAACTGAGGAGCCAGATACGCTGAGATGTTCTAGATATTCTTAAATATTAGAGGTCTTCCGGTTTGAAATACACTACATGTATCTATTTATATCTAGATGTTGAGATAGTTTCAGTCTAGATCAAAGTCCTGAACTGACTGACTTATATAACCATCCCGACAGTCATGATCATCTAAAACATTCAGACAGAATCAAAATCTAAGCTGCAGTGGCAAAAACCTAAAAAAGTAATGGAAAAATGTTCTTTTCAACATCGCAATTGCATTGTAACGTTAAAGAAATGCACAAATCCTTTATTTGTCACACAGCAGATTTTATTGTGTTTGTTTTAGATGTTTGCTCTTTAGTAGTGGTTCCTCTTACATCACATTTGCCGTATGGGGAGAGATTCGCACACAAACATCAGAAAGCACTAAGGAATACTTTCACTTGAAACTAATTGCTATGAGTTACATATGAGTAGGGTTAAAGGGCAGAGAAGATGCAAGAGCACAAGACAAATATACCACACAGCTGCAGACAAACATTATTAAAGTTCTCCCAAGAGAAAGATAAGGAGGAAAAGGCTTAGATAAATAGACAGAGAGAGAAAGTGAAGGAGTATAGAGAAAGAAGAAACGCCAGTTCAAGAGAAATGTCAGTTCAGAGATTGTTGGTGTGTTGTTGATCATGGTGTTGGTTTTGAGTTCCCCTGCGGGGAATCTGGTCGTTACAGAACATCACTTCAGAAATATCTGGTGAGCCTGGTGATTTGATAAATATCCCAAAGTGCCGAAGCACGTAATCATCGTATTGTGATCTGTTAGATCTTTCTCCGGAAGGTTGCCGTCTGCACTGTTAGTTTGGTTTGTGTCATATAAGTGTTTAAAGTGTCTAGTTTTTGTTTAACATACTTTCACACACCAGTCACTCACTCCCAAACCTCCACCCTTAAGAACTACTGTACCCAAAGTCAAGTGTTATATTAATACAGCACATCTTTGTATGCTGTTTGAGTTACTGTAGTATACAATGTCATGGCACAACTTGCAAAAATCATAAAATGCTCCTCACATCAATTAATTTAGCCTAGCCCTGTTGTTCTTAATGCAAGTCTGAGCAAAAAAAATGTTAACATATCATGCACGTCTTCCAACCACTCCATCGACCACAAAGCTATTTATAATTATAGTACAATGCTTTAGAAAAACAAGACATTTTAAGGTTTACGAAAATATCCTGCTTCACCAAATTTACAATGGGAAAGGCTAGCACTCCCACAGCTCAACGATTACATAAAAAAACAGGTGTAAGAGACACAATCATGTTCTTTTTTTAAGAAATCCTTAAATTAAATAGAAGGCAACATTCTAAAAAGCATTGAGACAAAAGGCAAGAGAGCGCGTTCTGAAGCAATTTCCTGTTCGGACAGTGCAAAAAGGCTATCTGGACAATCAATAAATAAAGGAACATTTAACATAATAAATTAATAATCATACATAAGCAGCGACATTAAGCAGATTCAAAACATCCATTACAAATCAAATGAAACCCAGTCGACATCGGGTTTCACAAAAGGGGGCACTTTTTGTCATATCAATGCTTATCAGGTGTTAATTCTTATCCACTATCATTCAACTATTTAACCATCTAACAGCCCTTTTTGGGATTGACCACTAGTCTGTAGAGTTACCTGCCTACTCGTCTGCTACTTGCACCAGTTCTTGTACATTCACTCTGACTCTCTCCGTAAGGCAATGACAGAAAACATATTTTATCCCTTTGTGTGGATAACGGCTGTTATTCAAGATTATATCACACGCAGGGGAGTTGACTTCTGTGACCGCAGTTAAATTGATTAAACTCTCATGTTTGTTGATATGCGGGGGGATCCGAGTTAGCGTATTTTAGTTATAATAGTTACTTTGCTGTTTTTTTTTCATGGATTGTAATTTCCTCCCAGTATGTTCCATTTATACCTAAAAATTCACAGAGGTCTTACTTTACGGTATGTAGGAAACGTTGTCCTTGATGGAGCCCCTCACAGCTAATTCATGTTGGTGTTAGTCCTCATGAGAGACACAAGAAGTGGCATTTTAGAATGACGTGTTAGAGTGTCTGCTTAGGTTTTATGCTACAGGGATTTTTCTTTTTCACCTTAAATAGTCATTATTAGTCACAGGCCTGCCGTTTTCTTGCTGAACGGGACCTACATCTCAATCTTACAGGCTGGAAAAGACTCGTCCTGCATGACAACAGTGCTGCTGCTGGCCAGGACCATGATGTTGAGCTCCTGCTGCTTGTCGTGGGTCTCCTGGTACCACTCCCTCATCACGTCCGTGTCGTGGGTTGGAATCAAAGTGACCTGACACCACAGAGGAGAGAAGTTTCTAAGCTCAGGCATTCAGAGGATTTACAAGCGTCCTCACTGTAAAAGTAAAAACAGTTCACCATCTTTCTGTCCCTTCCTCCCATTTTACGTTCAATATTATTACAAGCAGGGATTTAACAGAAAAAAATGAAAACATCCAATGTTTGTATGTCATTCTTTTACATATTTGGTAGAAAAATTAATCAAGGCTGTTTTTTGATGAAGATTTGTATGTCTACATGTCAAATTAAGCAAAAATAAACAGCACTCCAGATAGTTTTACAGTATCATATCAATCATATTTACACTGACCTGCATGTTGTTTCCCCACTGGGCCTTTCCTTCCAGCAGAGCATCAAGGACGGCCCGACTGGGCTCCTGAGCTGTCTGGTCATTGCCACTGACCACGTAGTAAGAAGAGCGCACCCGCTTAAAGAACTCAGCATCTGCATTCTTGGCATTGCAGTGGTTCGGGATGTAAACCAAATCCATGTACATGGGAGGACAGTTGGGCAGAGAAACCCCGCCGGATACCTTTCCACTGCCAGTACCTGAAAAGGAATAAAAAAGGGAATTATTTCATAAGTTCTAAATAAATATGAGCGTATTGTGTGATTTAAATGATGACAATAAGTAGTTAAGTACTCACCTGATGAGGCACTTTTGACACCTCTGGATGCAGAGGTATTGGTTGCATTTTTTGCATCTTTTCCTTCTTCGACACTCTTCTTTGGAGACAAAGTCTTTGTGTCCTTCACTTTTGAAAGGACACTCTTCCTAGCAGGCGAGGAAGACTTTTTCAAGAGCTTTTTCTTCTTGGGCTTCTCCCCCCCTTCCGTGTTAGCATTGTGGAGGTTTTCCTCAGCCTTAAGGGCCTCTGGGTCCACCATGCAGACGTCATGGTGGCCTGAAGACGGAGCCGAGTCCCTCAGAGTCACTGGAGGAGGATCGGCGTGCCTGTACGTCAGCGTCCTGTCCGTCGGCAGAGTCTCAGAGTCGTCTTCTGAGTCGATGTTAGCATCTGCCGTGATAGAGGGGCACTCCTCTGTCCCTGGTGGTACATCCGAATCCGTCTGGGAGGGGGCAGATTCGCTGATGGATGTGGGAGGGGTCTCCTCACACTGCTTGGCGGAAAGCTTACCACCTGGAGGTGGTGGACCTCCCGCTGACTTGGTCAGAGGCTTCTCCTCATTCATGGCATGTTCTTCATTGATGAAATACTCTAGAGGGTTCGGGTTGATGAAAGATGGGGACAGTTCTGTCTTTGGGTGGAGATACTCACATGAAGTGACGAGACAGAGATCGACATCCGTCTTGGATGGAGCGCAGGGGCTCTTCTTGGTGGAAATGTCCGGCTCCCTGGAGCCACAGGCGGTGTTGAAATGACAAGGATCAGATGACAGAGGTAGATATGACGGAAAGGGAACTATAGGGCTCACAGGGGATTTTGCCTCTGGTGTAGAATCCTCACATTTAAAGGGATTAGTCTCTCTTCCCGGGGAAAAGATGTTTTCTTTTGAAAAGTTCAAAGGTGATGAAGGAGAAGCAGCTTTGGGAGGCGACGGGGACTCGCCGTATTTCTGTTGTGTGTCAGATTTATTAGTGATGCTCTCCACAGATGGTGAAGCTGGACTGATAGTTTCTTTAGCGGACGAGCCTCCTGGCGCAGGGGATGGCTCATTGTAATTGGGAGAAGATGCCTCTGGGGTGACCGGAGACGCTTCTGTCGGGGGAACCGCGGCATGTAGCATCTCTGTCATCTGGCATGGGGTTGTAACGGAGGGAGTCGACTGAGATGCATCCGACGGGGTTGCAGAAGTAGCGAGTGCTGAATCGCTCTCTTCAAAAGGCTTTTCCACTGATGAGCTGTGTTCTTCGGATGTTTTCCCGTTTGCTTCATCCGACGGGCTGTAGTCAACCTCAGTCGGACCGTTCTCCGTAGCACGTGAACTGCCTCCCACGGATTGATGCTCGGGGGATTGCTTGCTAAAGTCCAGGGCTAACGAGTGGTCAGGGGACTCCTGGTCAAACTCAATTGACATGGTGGAGTGCTCTGGGGATTTTGCTTCCTGTATTCTGCTTTTGGTCTTTGGTGAGATGTCTGGTGAGATGGACATGGGCCTGGGGCTGTCTTCCTTGCAAGGCGATCCCTCGGCCTCCTGGAAGGTGTTCGGGGTCTGAACCACAGATACGGACAAAGAGTCGTCCACCTCTGTTGAGTGAGGAGAGCCCACCTCAGCGTGAAGGGAGGGAGAGTCAGTGGTGGGTTCCGGAAGGGAGCTGGTGGCCAAAGAGGCGGTGGATGCTGAAGCTAAATGTGAAAATGTGTCTTCTGCCACCACCTCCTCTAGAGAGGTTCCTGACTTGTCCGATGTGGTTCCCTCTGAGATGGACATTTTACTCTCCTCTTTGAAAGCTGTGGAGGGACAATTGTCCGATTCCTGTTTGGTGATTGGTGCCGACGACAAGATTGAATCTTGAATCTTGTTCCTCTGATCCAAATTGACGAGTGACGAGTCCATCTTTGTTGGGGAATCGGGTTCAGCTGAACGGGAGCTGTTAGGTGGGGACATTAACCTCTCTACGGGGGATTGCATTTCTTGTTCTGGCTCATTGGGCTCTGGAGTACCTCTATTGGAGAAATCCTCTTTATCACTTGTGACCTCCACAATTGTTGGACCCGGGGCGTCGTCCTCTGACACAGGTGGTAGATCTCCAGCTCTTTCCTCCACTGGTGACTGATGGTAAGGTGTGTGACCAGAGGACTGAGGCGAATTAGCTCCCTCCAATGTCTTGTCGTCTTGGCTGGTGGAGGAATTAGCTCTCTCTCTGACGCACCCGGCCAGCGTGGTGGACAATTCTATTGCAGCAGCAAACGGTGACGGAGAATCAAACTTGTCCTTGCGGTCTACTGAAGGAGAGCGCACAAGAGGAGATGTCGTGGAAGTTGAGCCGAGTCTGACCGTGTCTGAGTCCGTTTCAGGATTCTCACATGACTCCTGATGTGAGGCGAACTCCTCAGATGTCCCTGCAGGGGGAAACTCCCGACAGAATTTGTCCTCTTCTAGCAATGAAGGGGGAGATATTGTGGAAGCGGAATGGTTGTAGTCCTGGCCTTCTGTGGCATCGCTCTGCGAGTGATCCTCCCATGGAACGTCCTGAAGTGGAGACAGCTTCTTCCTGTCGAACTCTCCGGGTGTCACAAACTTGCCCACGTCCTGTGAAGGAGACTCGTCGTTGGTGTTTTCGTCACTCTTGACGTCCTTAGGAGTCAACACCTCATCCATGGGCGTAGGCACACTGGAGAGCTCATTGGTGGACTGAGTGTGGCAGGAGGTGACAGTGTAATTCTCAGGGGCTTCATCTCTGGTCTCACAATCGGAGGCTGTTGAGCTCTCGAAGCCAACGGGGAGCATTTCGTCATGGATAGATGCCGCCGGAGAAACAGGCGAGGACACTTTTGGTGAAGCTGATACAAACATGTTATGATTGTCTTTTTCCTCCACACTTTCATTTCTATTAATTAAATCAGTGTTGTCTTCAACACTGGCTCTCGGTATGATGTCAAAAAGTGTTGCTTCATGTTCATCTTCATCAATAACGCTATTTTTATCTGGTTCCACTCTCTGTGGTTCGGAAACTTCTTCTATCTCTCCCTTATCTTCATAATCTCCTCCCTCAGATGTCTCCTCCATGACAGTACCTTCATCTTCAAACTTCTCAATTACACTGCCATGGAACTTTTCTTTGAGAACTTGTTCTTCTGGAGTCTCTCCATTGTCTCCTTCCACCTCTGTGGTGGTTATACCCTCATCCACCGACTCTAATGCCTCGGGTGAGTCTTTGGTTTGTAATATGTCTTCACTGTGGATCACTACAGCCTCTTCTTCCTTAATTTGTGGCACGGTTGCGTCGTCCTCCACCAAATCTTCCGCTTTAAGCTCCTCAAAATCCTTAGTGAGGTCCTCTGGTGTGGACATCAGAGATCTTACAACTTCTGGATCCTCTGCAACGGCAGAAGCACTTGCTGCAAGCTTGCCACTGTCCACCTTTGTCTCCTTCTTTGTCAACTTTGGCTTCCCTTTCTCTTTTAACTTTGATGGGATCCCCATGTCTTTCTTTGAAGCGTTGTCTTTTTTCAGGGGCTTTGGTTTCGGCGCTATACTCTTTTCTTCAGCCACAGCGGCTGTCTTCTTCATGTCTTTGAAGGGTCTCTTGACATCTTTCTTTTGCTCTTTCTTATCTTCCTTCTTCTCCTTCAGAGGTGAGTCTCTCCTCATATCCTTTTTTACAACTTTCTTTGCCTCCTCTTTTTTTACTTTTTCATCCTTTTTAATGTTGTGTTTGGGTGTGTCGTCTTTCTTTGCCACTTCTTTTTTCACCTCCTTTTTCTTTTCCACAGACACTTTGGCCTCCTTTTTGGGTTTCATCTCAGATTTCTTTTTTTCTGGGGTTTCATTTTGAGCAGTTGGCTCTGCTTTTGCTTTTGGTTCTTTCTCAGGTGCCTTCGCCTTGTCTTTTTTCAGAGGGGCCTTTTCTTTTTTCTCAGTCTTCTGTGTTTTTTCATGAGATGATTCCGCATCTGCCTTTGCCTTTTCTTCCTCCTTTGAATTCTTTCTGATGCTTTTGCTCGGTGACGGCTTTGGGGTGGACTTTAAGCTCTCCTTGCTGTCTGCTCTGTGTTTCATCTTTGCTTGCTTAAGCGTTGGTGTTGTCAGCATATCGGTCGACATTGCTTTCTGAGTGACAACTGGCTGTTTCAGAAAGTCCAAGTGCTTCAGCTTTTCTAAACCTTCGAAGACGTGATGCTGGGTGGCATTTCCAGGAAAGAGAACACGCACGACCTTATCTGAGGGATTTGCAGGGTGCCACACAATGAGTGAAGAGATAGAAGTCAAGTACGAGACGGGGAACTCTGATTCTTTTCCGTTCGGCAGCAGAATGGAGGCTGTGTCTTTTTCATTTCCAGTCCACTGCTTCATAAAGTGTTGCATCTCCTTGCTGTTCCTTGATGGATTGAGCACATACATCTCAAGCTTTCCCACGCCCATTTTCTGAAAAAGTATGAGTGGTTCAATAGTGTTTCCAACAGGCCTGTGCAAAGGCTCCAACCTCAAATTTAGCTTGGTGAGGAACTGCTGAGTGAACGCTGCCTCCTCAACATTCTTCCGCACTCTGTAATTCAGTCCTTGGTTTTCCAGGTTTTCAGGAAGATTCATGAACACAACGCCGATATCTGGAGAAATCATGTTCTTCACCCAGTCACTGTTTGCGGTCGATCCCTGTGACTGTTCCTCCTCAAGCTCCGCAACTTTCCTCATCAGCATGCTGTTGATGCCCGGCAGGTTGTCGTCACCAATGTGAGTCATGAGGATGGAGTCCACGCGGTCCAAATGTCTCACCAGCTTCCAGAAGCACGACTTCCTGTCCGAGCCGCCGTTAACGAGCATGTTGAAGCCGTTGACGGCGAAGAGCGCAGAGTCGCCGCTGCCGGCGGGGAAGATGTAACAGCACGGCTTGGAGAGTTTCAGGAACCCGCCCGAGGTCGGTGGTTCTAACATGTCAAAAGGAGACGGGATCTCGACTGATTCAGATAAATACTCTGTGAACTCGGAGAGGCCCTCCATTTCAGGGAGTATGGAAACAGAGTTTAACTTTATGTAAATGAAATCCTGCAGGTTGTGTTTGTCCAAGTTTGAGTTTTTCCATTCGCCTTGTTCGGGGCAGGAGAGTGTGAGGTTGGCTTTGTTTGCTGGATTAATGGTGCTGAGCAATTCACCAATCTGTGCATGAAGGGAAATTAGGGGACTTTAGTTTCTAATATGTCAAACTCTGTGATAAAATTAATAGAGTTTTGTAATCAAAGATTCAGTATAAATGTGAATCATATTTGTATTGAGTTTTAAGACTATTGTTCTTCATAAGAATGACCGGTTTTAGGGAAATCAACCATCATGCATTCATTGGAATTGGATTTTTTGATATTGAGTATATCATTTTCTCCTTTGATAAAAACACATCCACTCATGAAAAAACTCTCATTTTATAATGTCATAGATGCAATTCTGGTAAAAATGCCAGCTCACCTCTTGGTCGGTGAATATGTCTATGAAGTTGAAAAAAGAAAATGATCCGGACTGAAGAATCAGCTCCCCGTTGTTTTCAGAGCACTGGCCTGAGAGAACCAGGAGCTTGTGTCTGGCAGTGTCTGAGATCATCAGACGAGCCTAGAAATGAAAGGAAGAAAATGACACGATAGCTCACGGAATGAAATAAACAGGTGAAATTGTAAAAAAACAAAAAATGCTGTGTTTATTTAAAATGAATGAATGAATACAAAGCAATGTTACTTCAACAATCAGCTCGATGATTAAGTGCATTTCAAATATCAGCAGTTCCACGTCACTCAAATCCATTAGCTAATTAGCTAATTAGCTGACTAGCTGACTAGCGGATCTATCTCCAACCTCTCTTGCCCTCTTTCCGTTGGTCTTTTATTTATTCTACTTAAACAACATCGGCTGCTGTGGGCTGGCCTGGTCAATCCTGCTGCGCTGTGAGATATTATTAATGCACAGTTTGACTGCAGACACGGTTGGGGGTGGAGGCACAAGAGAAAAATCTTGTGTCATCTTTTCTCCTGACCCTTGTGTGTCCATTAAAATGTAGCAAATGCATTAACTGAATAGCAAAGAGGATGCACTTTTTATTCTAGCAGTAAACAAGGCATTAGGTTTGTCCTTTAAGATCCTAATCGCTTTTTCATTCCGACCAACAGCTACGCACAGCAGTTGCTATTAAGAGGGTAGTTAATTGGCTACTGGTTCAAGGTTGAAAAATAACCCGTAACCAGCTGTTTTTGCTTTGTAGATGTGCATTTATTTAAGCTATTTGTGAATTATCTCTCCTTGATAGAAATATGGAAGACTGAAGATGAGGTTATAGTCATTTAACAACAATTACAGCTCATTTTACCTCGGTACTAACTGCATCATCTGAAGGGTTGATGAGCACCACCGTCTCCAGGACATTGCTTTTATGGTGAAGAATTCTCTGCCCTGCAAAACAAAACAGAAAATAATCAAAGATATTTTTGGTATTTATGATTCAAATGACTTAACCCTTTTTAAAAAAAGTTGCCAAATATCTTTCACCTAATGATTAACTGGTAATCGACAGACAAGATTATTAATTGCTAAGACCAAATAATTGTTGGTTTTCTCGCCATAATTGGCTGTAAATACGATTCTCTCTACCACACCATTAGCAGCAGTTTCCCCTGAGTAGACAAAGGTAATAAAAAGAAGATTAACAGGCTCATAATCAATCATCTTATAGGTTTTGGATGATTGATTATGATCATGACTTTCGCACTGTGTGCGTTTGTCTGTATCTGTCTTTGTTTTTCACTCAGTTATTTAATTTCTTTTCGAATACATGAATGTATTCGTGTTGCTTGAGTATAAACTTAAAATTCAGAGGTGTGTGCATTGTCTCCAGAATCCTGATCCTGCAGCAGCATTCTTCCATATTTATATGTATATTTCATATAGCAGATGTCATTAGGGAGTATACAGCCATTAACCCTGCCACTGCCTCCCACAGGGCTGTCACTCCATATGGAAATACTACCATGCTTGAAATAATGAGTCCTTCCCCACTCGCCAACCCTTTAGCAGCTCTGGTGTTGCACTCCGCTTGAATAATGGAGTTGTTTGCCCGGAGGGAATACAATTCATAGTGTGGCTTTTATTCTGATTTTTGAAAATTCTTTATCATCTTTGTCATGCTTGGACAACCAAGACAAAATCTCCTTTTCCTGATTTTTAAATATTCAAGAGTAAGATAGTACGACATAGAAATGAGTAAAAGCAATTTTAGCCTTTTAGTCATTCATTCAAATAAATAATACATTTGGGTTAAATGGCGGATCCAAAGTAAACTGTCCTTCTGTGGAACAGGTTTTTATACAATTTTGCCCACACGTTCATGGTTCCCAGAGGATGACTCCTAATGACTCGAGCAATCCCCTGACTTTTCCCCTGGTTAACAATGAGCATTTAGTTTCATGATAATGTTACGGGGAAAATAGTTATTACGCAGAGGTGGATTGGAGCAGATCTGTGTGAGTCCAAAACCGCCGTCATCAAAACCCCAGTTGACGCCAGTGGAACCATCTTTGTTCTGAAGGGGCAGCCGTCTCAAACTGATGTGCCGCAGAACAAGTGACTTGGGAAGCAGTTTTCAGTGGTGTGTGTGAAATCGGAGAACAATCAATCCGGGATGTCTGTCGTTCATCCTGTCATCCCACTTGTACCCAGGCCATCATCTCCAATGTAATAGAAGCCCCCATCTCCTTTTAGTTCATCATACCGTGGGTTACGCCCCGCTCACTGGGATTTTGTCAGAAAACACATTACTCTGTGGAGAACACAAAGGATCCACCGGCTTGCACCACCCTCGAGCCCCCAAATTGCCGACCGTCTCGCCCCAACTCGTCAAAAAATGTCAGATTGTGCACTGGGGCTTGCTTGACCCTGACTATCACCTCGATTGATATAAAACCCCTTAATGCCCAGAGTGTGTCTCGGTCTCAGCGGGACGCGAGCTAATGCGACACGCATCACTGAGCGCTTCCCGTCAGTCTGAATAGAAAGTGCAAACCTGCCCCAGACTGAACCACGCGGGGGAACGTCGATGCGGCTGGCACCCCACCAAAAATAGATCAGTGGAACAACTAAATTCACTGTCTTCTTTTATTTGCATAAGAAAAAGGGAAATACTGCACGCATAAAGGATCGAGTCTGCATCTCCTCACATGGCTGCTCCGTGCGTGTCGGCACCTTTCTCATTCCTGTCATTTCCTTTTCAGACAGAGTAGTTTGATCATGTGACTTTCAGCCACAAAGACGCCCCCTCCCCTCCCCAGCACAGTATTCAATGTCACTTGTTTCCGTAACCCCACCCGCCTGGATTATAAAGGGAACTGGTGTATGTAATTTGTCTGGGTGTGGAGCTAATGGCACTGACTCACAGGTTTATCAGCTCAATATTCTAATTTAAGATACTATTCTATCTGTAGGAATGAGCTGGTTAAGGAAAAATATTATTATAATTAAAATCACTATGTCTTCTTAATTATTCCAGCCATGAATATGCAGCTTAATTAATCAATATATCTTCTGATTTACTGGTTTGATAAATCTCAAGAGAATACGAGATTGTATTTGTGAAAAACATCAGTGTCTTAATCTCGAACAAATGAATTCATGCAAAATCAACACAATTCTTAAATACTATTGATCATGACAGCGGAAATGCGTGGATTCCCGGTTTTTGAGCTTCAGTGGCGTCTTCATTCAAGGCGGGGAGCATGGAAATATATGCGTCACCAGAAGTATATCACGTCCATCCAGGGGACCCCCGGGGGCTTCCTTTTCTTGACCCTTTTTCTGGCCTTCTCGTCCTGCTCACGGCGGGGTTCGGGCTTCCTGTGCGCTAATGCAGTGTGATGGACGACGTATCGTCCGTCAGGTGGACGGATGATCGCATTCGTCCCCTTCCGCCAAGCACCACCCGCTGGTTTGTGTTTTCCTGGAAGCAATTAACCCTGAGCGCACTAACTCAGCTCAGATATAAACATAGAAAACATAATTTAATAGGAAACTATCATACGGTTGTCTGCTCAGCTTCCTAATCTATCATCTTTATCCTCAATAATGCACTTCGTGTTTGATCAGCGTTAGGAAATGCTTCACTTTCTTGGCGAGAGTGAGACGAAATGATTAATAAAATCTCTCATATCTTTCTAGTAAGTTCCTGTTCATTGGTGCAGTTAAGAGATGTTTTGGGCTGATTTTGTTACCTTTGGCAGGTTTGCTGTTCAGAGCTAAGCAGCTGAAGCATGTGAGAGAGGAACATTGACTTTTTAGAGAAAAAGAGATTACCCAAACATCAAAATATTGCTTTCAATCTGTTTATTTTGTGTTTCAAACGTAATTGATGTGTTTAAATTTAAAGTACGATTATACAACAATATATATATATATACATATATGTAAAGCTATGTCCTTAATGGACTCAAAACCCTTGTGAATGTTTTTAGGAAGCCCCTCATGGAGCAGTTCATGTATAGACAATGGAAATCCTCCCTTTGAGAAATGAGGGGAACTTGGTCATAGAATGAAAGAGAGCAATTTTATTCCAGTTTCTCGTTCATTCACAGCATTTCTGGCTGTGTCACATCTATTTTCAGCCATGTTTTTGTCCTTCACCATCCCTCCTCCACCTCCTCCTCCTTCTCCTCTTCTCCCTTGTTTGCTTCTCTCTCATCCTCTTTCTCTTCACAGCCGCTGCTCTCTCCTTCTTGTTTTCGTGGACAGACACTCACCACTGGGGATTCACTGCTAATTACTCCGGAATCAACTGCACATCTAGAACTGCGTTGCAAGGCAACAGCACAGATGAAAGAGGAAGGGTGGAGGATGGGAGGATGCTAAAAACGAGGTTGGATAAAAGTAACCGAGAGTCTTTTTGAATCCTCTCCCAATCTCCATGTTTCACATCCCTCTGAACTTATTGTATTTCACCTCCGGAGGCCTGATTCTGACATTTGATATTACTGCATTAATAAAGGAACCACCTGATTTAGTCTGCAGCAGCAATTGTCGGTTGGATCGAACCGTTGTTTGTGTCCATTATGGAGCGGAGCCAAGCATCCGGCTTGAACTGCTGCTGAGCGTCAAGGCCATACGGCCCAACGACGGACCACGTCCTGCCACACTGGCTCTCCTCCATCTCTACTAAAACATCTCCCTCACCTTGCAAATGAAATCAGCACCATGCAACAAAATGCTGAAAGGACGGGTCCTAAAACCCCTCCGCTTATAGTGCTTGGAGGTTAAAGCTGACGCTGTGAGCTGCAGAAAAGCAGCAGTGGAATATAACAATGTGTATTAAAGTAAAGAGTCAACAAAGGAGATATTAAGAGCTCGTTCCTTAATTGGGTCAAATGAAATGAATGGACGGTATTTTTCCTGTCTTGATACAGCGATAGAAACTGGATGAACATTTCATTTATTGATTGAGAGCATAAAACAATTAATTCTTTAATTTCCAGTCTACCTTTGACGTCTGCAGAGAAGCGAGCCGAGTGTCTGGAGACAAACAGCTTGAGTTCCTGGTCCAGATTGCAGTCGATGAGGTTGGTGTCCCATGAGCGGATCCCTGAAAGATGAACAGAGAAAGTAAATAAAAAGGAGCAAGGAGGAGAAAGAACGGCGAACGAAAAAATGTGCGTTGATTCTGCTTCATGAAAAAGAATCAATGCTCACAGCACACAACACACCTCGGAAGAACAGGTCTAACAAATGTGCAGTCTCACCCACACGTCTATTTGCCTGATCCTTTGCCCCCAGTTTATTGGAAAATCTTAGAGTGAACATGTATAGACTGGTCTGGCATGAGGAAATAAATCTATAATAGGAAATATCTGTCCGTGCGGCGCCGTGGGCCAGAAGCACTGGTGATCAGAGCTGAGTCATGCTGGTATCATCTTCTCTTCATAATCATGTAAAGGCCTCACGAAGGCCTTTGTGTAGATACGTGATGGCGAGCACTGGGCGTGGTGACAAAAATACAATATGTACAAAACAATACTATGAAGTTCATAGTTTTACAAGAAGAATTTCATACGTTAATACAAAATCACTTAGTGATTGTACCTATCAATTAACTAATGGATTTTCCAGAATAAAAGAAAACCCCATAACTCCCATTCTTTGTGTTTGGGCAATAGCAAACTTTTGGTCTCAAGTTTTCTGACATAGCAAGGACACACCTAATAATAGAAAATGGAGAAAAAAAGGAGAATCGAGGTCACATTGTGCCACAACAAAGTCAGGTGAGACCTATAGAGGAAACGCCTCCTCTTTCTTCTTTCCTCCTACAGCCACTACGCCACATTCTCCCCCTGCGTTCTCCTCTCTCACACAAACAGTGTGACACAATCCAGGAAGCCACACAAGTGATCTAACATCAGCTCTTTACTAAAACGCCCTGCTGGTTTTTTTTTTTTAAAGAATATCGTTCCTCGTCGCTTTCCGTAGGGACCGCAGTGCGGACCTGGCCACGCCCACCAGCCGGTGAGGGATGAGAGCGCTGGATGCGGGATGATGATGGAGAGACGTTCCCACGGGGACGAAAGGGTGCCATAAATCTAATGCGGCGCGGTGGATGTTAGCGCGTGCTCCTCCGGTGCCGTCTGCAACCCGGACGGGGAGAAAGCTGCTGCTTCCCCGGGAGTCTCCTCCCGAACGCCCACCGATGCGTGGCCCCCCCCCCCGCGCTCTCCTCAGACAAAAGCCTGACGCACCTGAATAAAAGCTCTGTCAAAGTGCTGCGGGAGGAATAACAACAACAACCGGAAAAAAAACAACAACAAAAAAACCCGCAGTTGCACTGTTGCAATGCGCTGCATTATTGACGCATAGTCCAGATTTAATGCTGAATCACCGCTGGCGGCTTTATTAGAGGACCGGGCCCACGTGTGAGGATGACAACAATTGGGCCAGACGACTTTGTATTGTGATTAATCTTACTGAACTGACACAGTAACATCCGCTGCTACAATAAACATCACTGTCTCCGGATCAAACAGCGACCACATGACGTCCAGATGTAGTTGATGAACCATTTATATGTTTAGTGGGCAAGTTAGCGAGCACATTTGACTTCTAAACCCATGAGAAGAACTTTCCTAAGGGGGGGTGTCGAGTTTTGGTCCGCACCCATTTGAATAAAAAGCTCCATCTTACCTTTCTCTATGTCCGCAATGGCACACTTCAGGTGGTCCTCCGTCACGACCTCCCCGATGACCACCAGCAGATAGAATTTGCCGTCGTTGAAGTGCTGCGAGGGGCCGGGGGATGTCGGAGACGTCCCCGAACTGCTTTGAACGCTTAGAGTCTCCATTTCTGCAGACTGTACCAGGGTGGCCATCCCGTCGCGTGTGTCTCCCCGGCAGCCTGCTCCCGTTACGCGCGGCAGAGCACCGGACTGGTCTCCAGACATGCGAGTGGAGCCTCGGTAGGAGTGGCCCTGGCGTTTTATACCAGCAGACATTGTGTCATGCTTGGTAACCGGGGAGGGGTTGGGGGCGGAGGGGGGGGGGGGTCCTTTTTCTTTTTTTCCCCCCTTTTTCGCACACTCGCTCCACAGCTGATGTCATCCGCAACGAATCAAACGCCTCCGGAAGTCACCGAGATGCGATGCTTTGTGTTGAAGCCTCCATCAGACTTCTACTTGTTACGTATTCATCAGGAGAGATTATTATTCTACATGCATACAAGGGGAGCAGAAGGCTTTCTCACTCATTTATTCCACATTAAAAAATGGTCCTGTGTCAGTGTTTATTAAAGATGTTTTCTGTGGACACATTTTTACAAAGGTGTTGCTCCTGTAAATATGACCCTTGAGGTTTAATATCCGTGAGCTAAGGCGCTGGTGTGATGATTGCTTTGTTCATTTCGCCACAAATGTTCAGAGGATAAAACGTTTGATGATTAAAGAAAACATGAAATGTTGCAATAAGGAAAATAAAACAGAGGTCTCAATCTCAAGCTCAATACTGAATGCTATTAATGTCGTTGCATATTTCACTTGAGCTTTTGTGCATAATGTGTTTCTCCCCCCACAGTGTCTCCATGCGGATGTGAACGGCTTGATGTCTGATCACAGCATCCATAAGTGATCTCACAGGTTGGTCCCTCGCGAGAGATTCATTACAAAAGGTCTTTGATTGTGGAAATCTTCCATCTAACAAAAACAAGTTTTTGGAAATGAAAGAGACATGACATCAGAGGGGGGGTTAAAGAGGAACAACTACAAATGAACAGCAACTGAAAAGAACAGATATCAACTCACTATATAAGGGTGTGTGTGTAGATGCAGTTGGCAGTGAATAATAAAACTATTTTCATCCTACGACGTAAAGATTAAAGAGAAGGATCGTGGAAGCTGGTCGAGCCCTTTGTGAAAGCAGACAGACTTCAGGAACTGCAGCCGACTGTTGCGAGAACAAAGGTTGTACATTTGAAAGAGACGGCTCGGGATGCAGATACAAAAGGATGCACCATGAGACACACACACACACACACACACACTCAATAACACACACCCCTTCTCCCCGGCGAGCCCCGTTGACGTGATTGGGTCTCGTGGACCACTGGGCGACTTTAATAAGGCTATCGGGAACATTAGACCATTCCTTGGTAGCATGAGGGGAGACGGGTGGGTGAGGAGGGGGCTTGGTCATATTCTCCTAAGGCCGTGGGGGGGGGGCAAATCAAACATTCATCATACACGGTTGGCAAAGAAGGAAGGCATTAAAAATACAACAGGCTGACCAAAGTCTCCGAAGGGACGCGTGAGTTGTTTCCACGAGGTGGGCTGATGGATGACACCGCTGCGGCCTTTTTCCTCATGCACGTGCGTTCATGTCTATGTGCCCGTAGAGGCAGTTCAAAAAAATGAAAATGAAAGGATTTTAATAATTAAATTCTTAAACCACGTGGGTCTTACAAAACTTGAAACCCTGTGATGCTTTGGGTCACTTGTAGAGACAAAAGAAAATGCATAATGTACCGCGTGAGTCTGGAAAACAGAGGGATGTGTTCAGAGACAACACACACAATAAGTAAATATATAGTAAAATATGAAGCATATAAATGGTAACATTACTTGTCAGGAAAACATGATGGGAAGGATTAGTGATTTGAAGATGGTTAAAATACAATTGGAATTGGACAATCATTTTTTCTGTTTTGTTTCTTTCCCTTTTTAACTATGTGTTTTTTCTGTTGTATTTTTCACATGTTTTCTTTTACATAATGCACCTGCACTGCCTAAGACAGTTCCCTTTGTTTTTTTTATGTTGCTTTGAAAATTCACATATCAAAGTGCTGCCAGCCGCGCGGCTTTCAGCCGGCCAAAAGGTTCCCAAATCTGACCCAACGCGAGACACTTTGGAGCCCATGTTTTTAGGTCTGATTCGGTTACTTCACCGTCAGCAATGTAAAAAGCACTCTCCATCACCGAGTGCCCCTCTCTGCCCCGCCTGGTATCTCTGTGGTCCGGCCCCTGCAGAGCCGACAACACCAATGTGTCACGCTGTAGAGTGTGTGTGTGTGTGTGTCAGTGGGAGTGCTAGGTGTCTGAACATGCAGTACAATTGACCGAGTGAGACGGAAGCGGAGTGGCCCAGCAGAGTTCAATCAATGGGTTTGGACGAGCACCCGGTGTTGCGCTCAGTACTGTAGGACGTCTGTATCGGAGAAGCAGGCTTTACTTTTCTATTATTGTTTGACTTCCTGTCCATTGAATCCCAGGCAGCGGATATTAGCTTCCAACCTTTTTTTCTAGTACACAAAGGTCAGAAAGACCTTATGCTGTGCACAGCAGGGAGGGGTGTGTGACTGATGTACCCATGCAATAGTTTTAGACCAACAACTATTGCATTGCACACGGAGCAAAAACATTAGTATTGATATTAGCTTTGATGATCCTCATGCAATAACTTCTAACCTCTAGCAGGTAAAATGTTTGTACTACACAAAGTGCTGATCCCCAAAGCTCTCATCATCTGGTCAGAATGAAAACCTTCCCATAAGCCTCGGCTGTAGCTGCTGATTAGCACATATGTTAGCATAAGATGGTGTACATGTTAAGCAGCATACTTGCTACACCTGCATGTCAGCATGCTGACGTTATTAGCATTTAGCTCAAAGCACCGCTGTGACCAGGCACGGCCTAAAGGAAACATCTGGGTCCAATGTGTCAGATATTTTCTTTGCATTAGAATGCATTGGCAGATGTTGAGTTTCCTGCAGATGTGTAGTGCAGTGAAGGAGAGGCTTTGCAATAACTGGACTGACAGCTCCCTCGTGTGGTACTTTTATAGAATTGGTTATGTTGCTGGCACTGATTATTATTATGTTCTCTTTAGCACAAAGGAATGACAGTGAATCACATCTGGCCTATTGAATGGTTGTGTGCTTTATTCTGGTAGATTAAATCCAGCAGCAAATGAAAGGAGCGTTCAGATCCGCAAAAAAACGCACTGAATACTATTTGTAGTATCCTCATCTAAATGTATCATCTGGAGCAAAGATGCAGAAAAATGCAGAGAAATCTCGCGTCACTGACGGGATATTTTTCATTAATTATTAGATTATTATTTCAAATTAATTCAAGTGTTTCAAATATTAAGTTTGTGTATGAGCTGTAAGTAGCTTCATTCCACCACTAAAAGGTTATTTTCCACATAGTTTGATAGTAAAGGCAGGCAGCTCCTTATGATCTCCTACAGTGTATAATTTGCATTATTATTGTGTAATTTTCTTTGTGGCTGTGTCCAGAAGGAGAAACATTTCACGCATCATTACATCATACACTTCTTCTCTGATTCTCACACAACCCGCTCAAACATGTCATTACCTTGAATTAACGCCGGTGATAACCATCTGTCAGGTCTGATTTTTGCACGCCGCTGTGTTTTGTTAACAGCCAACTGCTTCACTTAAGGCAGGTTAACTGCAACATCAGCCAATTTATTGCCTCAATTTGCACAGTGGGTCATTATTTGTAATTAAAACACAACCAGGGAGTGGAGCTGTGGTGCCATAATGTGAGGAAACATCACCTACATCCATCTTAGTGGGATCAGTTTTGACTTTCATGCGAATCATAATGAAGGACGTTGGATCTTACATTTGAAACCTGTGAGAATTAAAGGAATACTTCCACATCTCTTTCACATACGTCCTTTACACATTAGGCCACAACCTGCAGCTCAGGTTAGCATAACAGGGAGCTTAAAGATCGCTTGTGTGCAAATTAAGTCTTTTAAATACTCTTTTAAGACCTAAATTAAGATTGCACTCCAAACTGAGTAAGTTGCTTTAGTGCTGATGTGTGAGATGTGCCTCAGGAGGTGGAGAGTTAATGTACTCGTGTGCTCGCTGCTTTCTGGGCCACCAGTTTCCATTTCAACAAGGACATTAAGGCAACAGCGGGGTCCATTAAATCCACAAACTGCCTTTCCCTCGAAATCCTTGCCACCTGCGGCAGAACATCACAAGTGGCAGCCGCCTTCCCGGCATGTAAGCTGAACTGTGGGAAAACACTGACAGTACTGTACATGTCGCAGAGCTTTACTGACCAACATCGGGCCAAAGTGCACTGAAAATACTAGACGAGAGAACTCGCTCTCCCAGGGAAAAGCAGAGACGTCCCTTTGCATCCGAGCAGTCATTCCTGCACTCGGCTCTGTAGATTCGCAACCTCAGAATTAAATGTTGAAACATGATGTTCTGTGCCAATCAGTGCCGAGGTTCTCCCACCGGACCGTACTGTGCTTTAATCTGCTTCCCATCAGGTTAAAGGATCACTCACTTCTTATCTGACTAACTGTAAGGTATCCACCAACGCGTTGACTGATCCTAAGCTCTTAAACACACATTTACGCACACGCACACACACACACACACACACACACACACACACACACTATTGGCTGACTTTTTTTTGGCCTTCCATCTGTAACAGCTCAGTTATGTATCAATGGAAGTGGTGTTTTTGCTTCTCTGCAATTTTTGCTCTCCTCATTAAATTTGTTTCTTCCTGTTCATATTTGAACTCTGCTAAAGACATTTTTGTATTTCATTGTGTTCAATGCACTTTATGCACTTTTAATCAATATTTCTATATCAACAACGGGACCCTGTGCATTGACTTTCCTTGAAGCCCTGTGTTTAAGGAAAGTTTGGGCTTCCTTCTCTTCCCTGGTATGAAAACGTCTTTCTCCTGGTAAATGTAGAAAAGTAAACCATCAGGTTGTTTTTCCTGAAATTGTCTTTCAGCCTTTGGTGGTTAAAATCATTTGGTCTCTTTCATGGTGGTTTTTGGGAGTCGAGTGGAAGAACAAAATCGTCCTCACGCTGCACAATGTCGAGGTCTTGGTCGATGTTGAGTGCTGTCCGTGGTGCTGAACGTGCAACCGCCACAACGTCGCTGTTTGAGTGACTTTGGACTTGCTGTTTACTTTTGGATGGAAAGGTCTAATAGTGCGCGTTGGACACTCTATCATACCTTACCGTTCTTAGAAATAATAGGAAGAGTCATCAAGTAAAGATCGACTCATATTGATTGAACCGGAATTAAAAGACACAGTAAATAAGTATATCATTTCATTGGAGTCTGTTGACATATAAACCTGAAAGATAATTCCATATTCATATTGAATTCATCACAAAACTACAAGTACAGCTACATATTTTTTTAAAATTTTGATATGCTGCTCAGCTCAATATGATCAAATGAAAGGAAATTGAAAGAGCAGCATTTATAAGATAACAATGAATATTGGGCTTCAAACCACTTCACTTTATCAGGAATATTTTGACAAAAGCTTATAGAAAAGATATTGACAGAGACTTCTTTAAGCATTTGAGAATTGTTGTTGAGCATGTTTTCTCTGACTCATAATGCAGATAAAAGCTGAACTTCTCTGTTTGATCAGTTGCTTGTGATCACAGAGGCCCACATGCAACAACGTCACAACGCAGCAATGACGCAGCGACGAGGAAGGCTGTGTATTTTCTGTGAACATGGCATTTCCTGTAAAAGTTCCCTTTGAAAGGCTCATTGAGTGTGTGCAGACGGCGGCAGACTCCCACACATGAATGCATCAGTAGCAGGGAAGACAAACAGGTGTTTTTTCTTGGGGGAGAATTTTTGATCTGCACACTGTGAGTTTCTCACGAACTCGGTGCGTGACCTTTTTTGGGAAGCACCGTGACCTAAACCGGTGCAGGGCGGTATACTGTTTCTACAGATGGAACCCATGTGTACCTCGACTGATCCATATCTTGTTTTTCTCTCTACCTTTTGCCTGGGACTCATTGAGTCACTCCCCCGGACGCTCAGGTGGCGGCACGGATCTCTGCCTCTCTGACTGACATCTGTGGGTGGGTGTCTGCTCAACCATCAACCACGACAAGACTGAACCACTTCTCCTTCCCGGGAAAAGATTCTCCGACCCAGGAACTGACGGTTACCTTTGGCAACTCCGTGTTAACGCCCGCTTTGACTGCGAGGAACCTCGGCGTGCCACTCGACAGCCAACTCTCCGTGACTCCCAACGCCATTGCGACAACACAATCCTGTAGACACACGCTCTGCAACCTCAGGAGAATACGTCTCCTCCTCAGAAGGAACTGGAGTCAGGTATTATAGTACCATATAAAGATTCACGATAAAGGTCACAGCCCACAAAATGGAGATTTGTGCAAGTTTAGCACTAAACGCCGCCACCTATCAACACGCACCAAACCCCACATGTGGATGATATGATGTTTAGCAGCCCATCAATCGTCCACCCCTCAACCAACCTCAGCCGCTGTGTTCACTTCTGTGCTCTGGGAGGTTTCCTCCAAGGAACGAGTGCCTGTAACAACGATGTCATCAGCTTTACCACTGAATCGAAAGACCTTGCATTACCGGAACAGGATTATTTAGTTTGTGGTAACATCGCTTACAGCTGTGTTCCAGGGATCCTTCCTAAAAGGTCCCTTACAGGGAAAAGCTATTTATATCTAAATTTAATCAAACTACATAATAAAATAAAGTTGCGTAACATATGTTTTTTTAAAGGGTTAATCCTTTGAAGAACTATAGCAATTATATCACGTTCACACGGGATTCATAGTGAGATTACCCTTTGACACAGCAGTTCTATGTTGAGGGTGTAAAAGAGAAATTAGAGCGGCTTCAGGGGGTGAAACTGAAAACCCATACTTAACGGCATTGTTAGCATCCCCAAATTTCCAGATAAACCTGTTCCTGTCCATCCAGGCATAACGTTTCCTCCTGGGTTTTTCTACACAACCTGAACCCGACATTGTGTTTCTTTTAGGCCGCTGCTGGTGTGCGTGGCAGCGGCGGTGGGGCCTGCCCAGCGTCACTGTCTCCTGCCAACGGGTGTGCCAGCTGGTCACTGCAGTCATCTTCTCTGTAAGCAATGCTGTGTTTGTAAAACCGAACACAGATCTAAGTGAGACAGGTCTTAAGCATGTTAGGGAAACGGGTTGGATACAACCAGGTCTGTTGTTATAATTAACGTTGGTTTAAGTGGACAAATACATGAAGGCATTGCATGTAAAGCATTTTGCAACATTCTCGCTCCGCAGTCTCCAGAGGAACGATCCAACGCGCAGTCCAGCAGCGGCGCCAATTAATAACGAATCACACGCGTGCCCCATAAGCATGCTCACCGACGAATTAAATGTGCCCTCTTTCTCTGGGAAAGCACTTCTGTTAGGCAGATCACACACAAACTATTTGGCCTGCGTCCCGGGGACTCCAGGGCTCACAACATGATCGCAGGCGCGGTCCAGCCGGGGTCACTCCGAGCGCTGCTCAGCCCGGACTCCTTTCCCACGGAAACCGTGAGCAGCGGCTCAAGAGACGGCAAAAAACAAGCTGCGGCAGTGAGAGTTTGCAATGATGACCCTCATTTATCACATGCGAGGGCCTTTCGTATGTGCTGATAGTCACACTTATATTACAGATATTATTAACACATTTGTGGGAATTGGCTCTCTTGCGGTGAGTTAGCTAGTTTAGCCTTTAATATGGGTCTTTTTTTACATTTTAATATGATAAAATTGGATTTTACAGAAATAACTATCTAAATGATTCCGTGAAGTCTTGACCATTTCTAACTACGTTGCTAATAGGTCGCAGCACAGTGTTAATAGTTTAAAATCATACAAAACTGACCCCTCTCATCAGTAGACACCTGATTTGAACCACGCAACAAATAAAAAATATGTTTTTTTGTCACTGTTGTGATATTTGAGTGAAATTCATTTGAAAAAAGGGGGGTGTTTTAACAGCAAGCAAGATTTAGTGAGAGTTTTTTCCTTTTTTTGGTAGACGTGTTTTTCTGTTTCTCCTCCATTAATTACATTCTATCATCTGGAGAACATATTTTTCATCTCACACATCATTACCAAGTCACATAAATCAGAGAGTACTTCACTTCATGTCTCGACTGGTTGGCAAAAGGCATTCAAGGATGCGTGGCATTTCATATTCTATAAAAGATGATCAGCGTTGGTTAAAGACTGGAGTTTATAAACTGAAAACAGGTTTTATCTTGAAGAATCACGCTGCACCAATCGGCAAACTTGCAAGGTATGCAGCTAAAAAAATGAGAATGTTTCCAGATGAGAGTGATTGCTGGTATACTTGAAAAATGGCTCCTTTCCAAAGGTTTCTATTTCATTTCAAAGTGCTGTTTTCCGCTGAATGGCCGAGGCTTACTGGCAATTACCTCAAACAAATGATCCATGCGTTCATTTATTCTCCCTCATATCATCATCATCTCTGTCCCCTTGCTCAACTCAAATCATATTTTTCCGGTTTTCCTACTTCTTAATTAAAGGTTCAGATGTTGTTGTTGTTTTTTTTTAAATCAGCTGCCTGAGACATTTGAACATAACATTTCCAAATGTTCGAGTATGAAAACGCTCTCGGTAATTACCGACGTTGTTGCGTTGGGTTTGAACTATGTAGCCATCATGAGGTTTGGGATAAATGGACCAATGAACTAATTTGGGCTGCATCTGAACTACTGACGCGGTTACGACTTCATGATATCTCCTCTACATTTGGGGTTTTGAGTTAAATGTGTCATCAGCTTGATGATTATTTATGGACTCGCACCATCATAAGATCAAAAGGTCAAGCCGTCAGCCTGAGCTGTGACTTGTGTTTAGTTATTCAACTCCTTGAGTCTTACTTTAACCAAACAGAGAAGTGATCCACGTCATTTTAGCTCCTTCCAGCTTTCAATCCAAAGTTTCTTTGGTGCTTTGCATTCGTCAAAAGTGATCTCCCTGATCCCTGATCTCTGATCTCTGATCTCTAATCTCTAATCGATACCTTATTTAAAATGCCAAACTAAATATCTAATTTCACTTCACCATTTATCTCTGATTTGGTTGACATGATCAATAAGTAGTGACTCAGGTCAGAGGTCGACAATCTAACGAAGGCCAGTTTGAAAAGGAATTTACACAACGTGAATTACTACATGGAGACGTTGTCCCTGTGTCTGAATTATGTCATCATTCTGTAACAATCTTCCTAAGAAATCTGGTGAGTATTAAGAATGCCTTGAGCTCTGGAATGCACCTCACTCCCACACTGACAGGTCATTCATCTTGTTGACGCCTCTCTTGTAGGACTTGGGGGCAGGCGAGAAGTTCACGAGGCAGCGATAATTCCTAAAAGGAAATGAGATGAGAAATATTACGGTCTACAGCGTCTTTGTAAGCAAGAGCAGCAAATCCTCCAGCGCTTAATTGCCCTCGCAGGGGATTTTGTCGTGGCTTAGGCACACGTGTTCTCACAACTCAGACACTTTCTTCACCGCCGCACGTTGTGTTCGTCGCTTCCTTCGCCGCATCTCTGAAGACGTCAGATGCAGTAAAAAAAAAAAAGGATGGGCCACACGAGGTGCACGGATCGACGCGGTGTGCTTCCGTCGAGGCAAAACCAGTTCTTCATTCGCGAGTGTGTGAGTCTGTGCAGCCGGGGCCTTCGGGGGCCGCGTCACACACGCAGGTGGCCCCTGCGCCTCTTGGCAGTTGGGAAGCAGAAACTGGGGCCCGAGCCGCTGCGACGCTCAGGAAGCCGGCGGCCCGCTTCAGACGGGAAGCGCTTGGGTTTTTTTTTTTCTCAAATGTTTCATGGCTCATGCCTGCAGGTCCCCCGGCGGCCCCCCGTCATCCTGCACCCACGGAAATAAACACACACTTGTATATATTGTGCAGCTTGTGTATATTGTTCGCAGGCTGCGGGTGTTCTTTTTTATTCACCTACCTCTGCCCCACCACGACTTTTCTTAATTACCACGTTTGTTCTTTTTCTACATTTCTACATAATGTTTCTTTTCACTGCATTTCAGCATTAAAGGCACAATTCCAGAGCAGGTAGTCAGAGCAAAAAAACCACAATCAACATCAAATAAAAGATGTAATCGTGAAAACAAGAGATCGTATTTCATTTTTCAGTCAGACTTTTAGACCGCAATGTTTCACCTCGACAACACATTAGCCACCGTCAGCACAACATAAACATGCGTTGTTTCACGACCTTTGCACAACCGGATTTGCAACCACGCAGCTGAGTGCATATAGTCACAAACCGGAGAGGATGAATAGATGGTGCATTGTGTGGGCATTTAAATAAGAATAAACTTAACAACAAGGCGGATACAGCGTTAAATCATGCAATGGTTGCGCAGCGTTGTGGTCAAACACGGGATGATAGATGCAGAGAGTCAAAGGTTGATTGAGGAGGAATAGCCTTTTTTCCCCCATCACTTTAAATGAGTTCCTTTAACTGTGCTGAGCATGTTGCATACTTAAGGGCGAAAGTTCAAAACGCGCTCCAGAAAATCAGAAACTTCACAAACAAGGGACTGCTGGATCACGGTGTTACTAAAGGACCACAGCGCGTGCATTCACTACGACACAATCTTCTTATATTTTATCTGCAAAAGAAAAATACTAGAGAGAGTTTGGAGAGTTTGGTCTCATTCAACTTGACCAGCATTATTGACTTATTCTTCTCTCAGGTATGTTGTGCAACGGCCTTCGATAACGAGCGATTGACAAAACACGCGCTTTAAACCGATGTCCTTTATCTTTACTATCCAAGAGGGATTTCTGTCCAAAGGACAAGTTGTGTCCAGATGGAATCATGCTTACACTTCAGGACGGGAGGTCAGAGAGCCGTAGAAAGTGGCAGTGATCACAATGGAGACAACGACACACACTCGCACGTCGACCCTTTGATCAAAGGTCACCATCCGTCTGTCAAGCTGCGGTACGCGTCCTTTGTCACATTGGTGTCGTATAACCACGGCTTCTGAAACCCTTGTGGACAAATAGAACGCATTCGCTTTGCTAAAATAACAACTTAGTGATTATTTAATTATATAATCACGAGGTATCGACATGTGCAAACCGGCTTCGAGCAAGAAAACGTATTTTGCGGACTCAAGCAGAGTAGTGTAACTACTATTTGTTTGTTTTCATCAAAGCACGGCTCATTATTCATTTGTAGAATTGTTTGAGCGCATCGACTTGCTGGAAATGGGAACCGCAGCCGACACAGAAATGCAGAAGGTAGAAACCAAACACCCCCCCCCCCAACAAAACAACTTCAGGTGACCTACTATTTTTCTGCAGCCATTGTTTGCCAATAAAAACACACGCGTGAAAGGACGAGTGCCCGAGGAAACGCAAGCCGAGAATGTGAAATTAAAATCATTACTTAATAGCCGCGAACCAGTTTGTTTTGAAAGGCACCTTTGTGTCCTCGCAGGTAGCAGCGGCTTTTATGTTTGGATTCCAGGCCTGCGCAGAGCCGCAGGGACAAAGGCAGCAGTGAGAAAACACGTCCACAGCAGTTAGTCTGAGACGAACAGAGACAGACACAAATTACTCAGGAAGATGAAACAAACAAATGTGCACGCGCACACACACACACACACACACATGAGTGGGTGTAGAGTTTTGTAGATCAACCGTTGTCATCTTAGCATATTTATTGCCAAGGACTGCAGAGGACAGGTGTGGCTTTGCTGATTCGTAACAGATGTCAGCAGCACAAATGATCGTCTTATTTCTGCTCTGATTCAAAGCACAGATGAATGAATCCGTCGCTTTGAACACGTTCTGAACTACAAGCTCAATCCGCTGTTTTAATATTCCGCCCCAAAACGCACACACAGCAGCGACGTACGTTGACTGTGAGCTGGTTTTCTTATTTCAATGCAGGGCGTCCCGAAATGTCTCCATACCTCAGTGAACTCGAGGAACTCGGGGATTGAACAAGATGTTCCAGCTCTCTTTTACAGAAAGGGGTTGAAAACCGACCATGTGTGTCTGGGACTTTTATGGAACAATGTGAAAATGTCATGTCATGATTATCAAGGCTGAAATGATTGCTTTTATCTCTATAATCATCAAAATATGCACTAAATGGGCACGAAAACACACCGTAATTGCTCTACCTTAAATTTAATTTCAGATAACATGTCCTACATTTCATCTATTTAATTTCTTTGTTTATTGAGCCTCCATTTAAGGGAAAACATCAAAAATAACTCACAAGGTAACACAGTTTGAGTCTTGATAACATCGCAGATTGCAGATATTGCATGTGATTACTTCTTCTGTTGAGTTTAGTTAAGTAATGAACTGATTAATAACTTGTCTAAAAGGTTTTGGTAATTACACAATGCATCTCCCACAGATGCAAACAGGCTTTGGGACATGAAGTACTCGACGTTTCCCCTTCGAGCCGCCGGGGGGGGGGAAATAGTTTGCAACTGTTGAGACTTGTTCCTCTAAAGCTTATGTTAAAACCGCACCCCGAGTGTCGAGCAAATGAGTATAATTATCGGCAAAAAAAAGAGTCTGACGGTTCCTTGCGAGGGGGGGAAGTGGGGTTTGGATAATGAAAGCAACCATCTCTGAATGTGCACAGACAGAAAGAGCTTATTGACTGATTGAGAGTCAGCGAGGAGCTTCTCACTCCAGAATAACAAGCAGCAAAGGCAGTTGTGTGACAGTTGGTCTCTTCCCCTGCGGGACGGCCCCCTCTAATCTATTACCACACGCGCGCGCACACACGCACGCACACTTCTTGGCCTTGATAAAGGCCTGTGGGCTGCGGGTGAGACGGCACAGAACAGGCTGTACGCCCGGCATGGAGCGGCGCGCTCGGGCCTTTCACTCTCGCTGCTCTGTTTGCAATGATTAATTTTTGCAGATAGGAAAGAGACAAAATACAGTAAGACTGTGTGTTGGACGCCGTCCTCCGTTTCAAAATGGTTAAACATTAACTGCACAGTTTAGACGTGGATACAGTTTCAGTTGCATCATCAAATCCTATCTGTGACTTATGATAAGATATCAGGCTGCTGTGTGTTGATCATTTACCGCACGTGTTAAAAAAACAACATTTTTGTACATAGAAGGTTGACAGCAGTTGTGGGAATTAGGCGTCATATCAAAACACTGTGTTCAAAATAACGCGTCAATGACGTTTCCTGATGCAGGCGTCATCCGCCATGACGTCAGCAATGCTGCGGATGATCAACACATTTTTAGACATTTATATATATACATCAACAAAATTAGACTTGTTTTAGTCTGTCAACGCTTCAAAGCTTTGCAGGTTTAGTCACCTCAGCTGTCACTTTGATAATTCCATTACAACTGCCTTTACAGCGTCTCCATTTATAAATGTATCGTCATTGCACAACATTCATACCCAGTTTGGTAAAAATTGCATCGATGCTAAATCACTTTAATGACATTGACGTGTTCTGGAGGCCTGCGATCACCGTGTGCACATGACACATGTTGGTAAATGTAAAGCAGATAACAACAATCATCACTTATAACACATATTTAATACCACTGCAACTGTGTTGACTGTATTATCATTCATGACATGTTCATCTGCACGTCTATCAGCATAACTTTGGACTTTATTGGCTTCCCAGGGACCCCGTAAATATAGCCCCCCCCTCCTCCTCCACCCAGGGGCCGTTATGCGTCAGGCTGAAGCCGATGTGAGATTGTCTATTTGTACACCGACTCCTCTGTAGTTTCCTGACAATTAATCACTAATGTATCAGCTCAAAAGGATGCATACTTTTATTTTAAAAATATATTTTAGGGACGAGCAGGCTGCGGCCAGCTGTGTGACTCTCAGGGCTAATAAATTCCCCTTTAATCTCTTTAACAGCAAGTGATCCCACCGCCTGCGTCATTTTAGGAATGTTTTTGGGGGGTTGAATCCAGGGTGCATCCTCGAACCAAGACTTTTAATCACCTTCAATCTGGGATGCTTTACAGCACTGGGGGAGTAAACCCGACTCCCAAGGGGGTTGACTCCTTTCTAATGACATGGGAGGTTTGTGTAGGATGTTTGATTAGCTGGACTTTGGAGAACTTCCTCTAGAATAAACACGGATTCACGGCCTTCTGTCTTAGACTTGCATCATTGATATTGCTGCTATTTCATTAGAGGGATGCCAGCATTGACGGACTAGAACGGACCAATCGGGACTCGACTGACGAGGGATCTGGTTCCTCAATTACAACAAAACGGATCTTTAATAAGGTTCTCAAACTGTTGGCACTCAACACCGTGGGAAAGCAAGTAGAATAAATAAATAAATAAAATACCGATGTGCGCATGAAGGAGGGAAAAAGAGGATGTGGAGCTCGCTGGCACCGGCTCCCCACGTAAAATAATCTAATCATTGATCGTCTCTTCAGTCAAAAACTGGAAACTGACAAATGGAAATGTGCTCCCACAGCGCTGAGGTGCACTTCAGCAGCCGGTACATTCCTTCATGTGTGTTTTTATCAGTTCCCCCGCCCCCCCCTTAACGAGCAGAACCTCTGGGGTCTTGTCACATGACGCCACTGGGCCTGATTGGAGATGGGTGTGTGGGATCGAGGTCGGACGAGTGGTAGGTTGGCGCTCTCCTGGGAACTCAAAAATGTAACTACTTTCCAAGGCTGGGATATTTTTCAGACTTCCTCTTGTAGAGTTAGAATGTAGTCTCTGCCCACAAGGTCAACACAATAAATGGACTTTAAGGGCACCCATATTGTTGTGACAAAAGCCAACGACAAAGTGCCCTTCAGGTGCAAACCGGGCTGCTCTGCCTCGCAGGCCAATGACTTTGAAGCAAAAATAAGGAAGTGCATTTATTTTATTTTATTTGGTTGAATGTCCCACTCCCTTAAAGACAAACATGGCGATGAAACAATGAGTCCATACTCAAACAAATGGCATCCAGCCATGATCATAAATGAGCCTGGCAGAGGGATTTTTTTTGCATGAAAAACAGACAACTTTTTTAGCCCCAGAATTTCCCAGAGTTCCTTCCAGCCAATTTAACGTTGTTTCTTCCAGAAAGAATCCTAATGCGACATGGGACAACATTTGCATTCAATGTTAGTGTTCGAAGTTTGTCCAAATTATAAAGTAAATATGAAGCTTCTGCTTTTTTTCTTCTGTTTCAAATACGGGCTTTTTAGTACTAAAGTATTTTTCCAGCATTGTAACACTAAGAATTTGTCTAACTGATCACACGTCAGCTTGACTCTTTTTTCTCCCTTTACTTTGACATGTTTCACTTCCTTTATTCTTGTTTTGTCGTCCCGTGGTTGAAATGTTTAAACGGTTGCTACATTCGCAGTTATTTTCTATAAATATGCACAGATATTGCATGTTGCCTGTTGCAAAATACTGACAGTGAGCAACACGACCAAAGCACCTGTTTCAATACTCTGGAAATTGGAGACTTTCTTTCCGCTTAAAAAGATCTAATCTTAAGACAGGAGACAATGTTTCCGTTTCGATGGGAGCTTGTAGCATCTGTGCTTATATTAGTTACATTAGCATTGTGCAAACAGCAGTTAAAAATAAACCTGGTCTTCACGCCCACAAAGTCCTTTTTTGACATTCGTGCTCATTGAAGGATTAAAGAGGCCTGTGAAACCCATCAGAAAATCACATAAAGACCACTCAGGTGTGCCACTACCTGTTTCTGCGCACGTGATTGGCCGTGCATAAGAAATGCATTAAAGTGAAGGGTTTCCAATGTCACTGAGGTCATCCCCTCTCCTCGGGCTGACAGCATCTGGGGCAATACGCTAAAATGAGGACAATTTGAATTTGTTCCATTCCTCTTTAAAAAAAACAACACTTTGCCTGAGGTCAGAGGAAGTGGCATCTCTGTTTAACTTTCAGGGACTTTTAAGAATGTGACACATTTTAAGCTTTCACCACTCCACCACTCCGCAGCCGACGCTAACATCCTGCTCCAAAGCATTTTGTTTAATGGACAGCAAACAACAGCATTTGGTTTGTGAGTCGCTCCTCGTTTGATTCAGGAGACACAATATCAACCCTCCGACTAACAAACTCTAGGATATTTATATGATACAGCTGGTTGTGTAGCACACAATCTGGCTCTTAGTAAAACAGAATGCTGACAAATAAAGGCCTGAGAAAACATCATCAGACATACACTGAAGATGATCATATCGCAAAGGTTTGTTTGTAGCCTATGCATGCGATTTGAAAAAATAAAACTGTATTTCCTTCTCTTTCGTCTTACTTTAAATTCAATTTGGTAACTTTCTAGAGCTGCCTCAGAGAAGCACAATCAGGAAACAGTGGTTAGGAGGTAACCACGAGTGAAAAAGTACATTTGGATGACGCATGCAGGTCCATACTGAGGTTGGTGAAACAACACCTTACATTTAAGTGAAAAAAAAAAGTACACTGTAACACATTATGGAGTTATAGCTGGATGCTCTACTTTCCACCTCTGGCGGGTATTTGATTCCCACACGTATTCATGCGGACGTCTTCATTAAAGCATCGTTCTGGTCGACCAAGTTGAAGAAGTGAAACTGTACATGGTGCGACACAACAACAGTTCTTTCTCCGACAGCTCAACGAGGCGCAGAGGAGGAGCCGCCTTCGCTGACTCAAGAAGAAGAAGAAGAGGGGGGGGGGAGAAGTTCCCTGTCAGTTTTCAGAGTGACGGCCGCGTGAGGTGCAGCTCGCAGTCGTCGCAGCATCGCCATGGAGCACGAGCCGCGCGAGCAAACAACTGCATCCACTGGATTGCTCGCGCCTCCACCGCGAGTCGGACCGATTTGGGAGTTTTGAATGCCGCGCGTAAAATGGACATTAGGACGCGATGGATCGGCTTCTTTTCGGAGATCCTCGGAGAACCCGCGTTCGCGACAGACGCCACTACTTCGGAAGTTAGAGGGGAACCGTTTCTCAGTGTGAACCGTTGAAAAGAAGTCCCCGCGGGTATGAACCACACGGCGGCGAAGGCGGCGGGGGGTTCACTGCCCACCATCCCGGCGATCATGTTCATCTTCGGGGTGGTGGGGAACGTCATCGCAATTGTGGTCCTGCGGATATCGCGGAAGGAACAGAAGGAGACGACTTTTTACACCCTCGTGTGCGGCCTGGCAGTGACCGACCTGCTGGGCACGCTGCTGGCCAGTCCCGTCACCATCGCGACCTACGTGAAGGGCGCGTGGCCGGGGGGCGAGCCGCTGTGCCAGTACTCCGGCTTCATCCTGCTCTTCTTCTTCTTGGTCCAGCTCAGCATTGTGTTCGCCATGTCGGTGGAGAGATACCTGGCAATAAACCACGCGTATTTCTACAACGAGTACGTCAACCAAAAACTCGCGGCGCTCAGTCTTTTGGCCATTTACGTTTCCAACATCGCGTTTTGCGCGCTGCCCAGTTTGGGTTTCGGGGAGGTGAAGCTGCAGAGCACGCGGACCTGGTGCTTCATCGACTGGCAGAACAACCAGACCGCGGTCGCCACGTTCAACCTGATGTACGCGGGAGTGAACTCGGCCATCGTGCTGGCCACTGTCGTGTGCAACGTGATGGTGTGCGGGGCTCTGATCCTGATGCACAAGCGCTTCATCCGCCGCACGTCGCTGGGCACCGACCAGAGGCGCGTGGCGGAGCTCGGGCGCAGGCGGAGTTTCGCGCGACTGGCTGGAGCGGAGATCCAGATGGTGATCCTGCTCATAGCCACCTCCGCCGTGGTGCTCATCTGCTCCATTCCCTTAGTGGTGAGTATCTGGACGCGTCCCGCACCACTCCGTGTTTTACGCGTTAAAATATTAATACATTTTTTAACCAGAAAGCAATTGAAGGGAAACTAATCTATTGAAATTAAAATAAAGATTGTGCAAAACACCAACATAGTTTTACCTCATGCACGCAAATGTAGTTAATTCAAGTTTGAAGAACTTTGTGTTCTTCCTTTTCTGATCTTGGGTGACACCATCCCCTGAGGCTCACGTGATTCCTTCAACACTCCCTCCGTTTGCAGTTTAAGGAATGCATTTACGAAGCTTTAGAATCAGCATATATGTGACTCATTAGTCATCTCTCCTGAACACTCTGAGCGTTCCTTAAACAACAGACTTCCATGAGATGTTCACTGTCTAAATCCTCCAACTTAAGATACCCTTGCATTGTGAAAAAGCCCCGGGTTAAAGGGATCATGTTAAGGTCACGAGGCCGGATAACAACATGTGCAGGGCATTGTTTTGGACTCCTTTTGTCAAAGTATCAAACACAAGGGTCATGTGACTGTGAAGCTCAGTGGCCAAAAGCATCTTATGCTTAACGATGAGGAGGACTGTTTCTGTTGGCCTCTTGCCATCTCCACACTGCTGTGGTTACACGGAAGTTGCATCCAGTATTTGTATTCGACCGTTCCATGCCAACCATGTAGGAATATATTATATAAACAATTGTGTTACTCTTCTAAACCAAGTATAGACAGGTTTGGGCATGTAAAAAGCACAAATGGCTCTGCACTTGACATGTTGATTCATGCTCCTTTGTGGTACAATCAAACAATAAGTTAATAGATTGACCTTTTTCTCTTGTTTGCCCTTCAGCTGAGGATATTTGTGAATCAGCTGCACAGAAATCAGACAGAAGAGCAGAATAAAGACCTGCTGGCCATCCGCATGGCCTCCGTCAACCCCATCTTAGACCCTTGGATCTACATCCTGCTCAGAAAGACGGTGGTCCTCAAGCTGATGGAGAAAATAAAGTACCTGTTCTGCAAAATGGGCGGGCGCGGGCGAAGGAACGGCGGCGGGCAGTTCGGCTGCGGCGACGCCCCCTTCGCGTCCTCCATCATGTCGCAAGACTCTCCCACGCTGGCGTCACGGGAGCTGAAGGTGATTGTGAGCACCTCACAGGCCTTTTTGTACTCGTCGGAGGGAACGGCCAGGTCGCCTCGCGCAGAGGCTCCGGGCGTCTCCGGCCCACCAGCTGCACAGACATTGGAGGGACCGCGGGAGGCCGAGGGGCCCCGGAGCGAGGGGCCTTCACGCGGGGATTCAGGGGGCAGGGCGGCGGAGCTTCTGATGGAAAAGAAGGACGCCGCTCTACACGTGACCTTCACGGATGAGACCGCAAACATTCAGGAGAAATGCATTTAGCATCTGCAACAGAGGTGCACCGGGACTTCAGATAGGAATTAACAAAGACGCGACAATACAGGAGCCCGAGTAGGCGTCCATCCATTTGTGGATGTATTGCGGCATTTTATGTGTGATACCCGTTATCAATGCATTCCTCCCCATGTCAGGACTCACCACAAACACCACATCGCCACGTGAACTAAACCGTGGAGGACAACAACGTTGTGGAGGAACTCTTTTGTTGCACTTTTTTGTTACAACCTCCGAGGAGACTCTTTCAGATGAATATTAAAATGCAAAAAAAGTGTACCGTGATGTTAATTTATTGTAAGAATGAAATCGTGTTATTATTGTCCTCTCTGTGAGAAGGGCTGGATAGTTTGGAGCCATTTTAAATCGCTACAAGATGAATATGCTCAGTTGTTGTTTTTTTCCTTTTTCTTTGTGGTGCAAAGTAACATTTGCAAACAATTTACTTCCACTGCAACAAGGCAGCTATGGCTGTACAGGATTTCTAACATAATATGTTAATATAAAATAATTCATTTACTCCTTCCAGACCATTACTTTGTAAAGATTAAACCAACATGATCTCATTTTACTTCAATTTAATGTGCAATGCTTCACATATAATTAGACTTCATAGGGGAATTAAGAAGAGAAAAGATAAACACATTATTACATTTCCTGTCTGATGAGTTTAAAGGTTTAGCCTTTTCTCAATAGATTTCCTAAGTAGATTTCTTTAAAGATTGATATAAATAACATGTTCATATTTTTTATGGTTGTTTTAGCAAGAGCCAGTGTCAAATTAACCACATCATGTTAATTCTCTTGTAAAAAGACTTCTGTTGTACCAAAGTCTTAAATACAAATAAAGGTTGACAGATATTCATATACACGAGCCACTTCTTTGGTATGTTTTTTTGTTATTGTAGCCTTTTACTTTTAGATTACAGGATTAAATATTGATCATTCACCAACAGATGGACTTTAAGGGTGTAAATTCAAAAGCTGCTCATCTTTTTTTAAACAAACAAACTCAATGTCACCGTTAGCGTCACGTTAGCAGCTGAGAAAACAGAAGCGGGCCAAAGAGTCGACAGGATTTTAACCTTCAACAGATGACGCAATGAGATGAGAAAAAAAAAACCGCTATTCTTCTGGGAAACTTTTCCAACTCATTCGCCACCTCATCATCAGCGAGGCCCCGTGTGACAGGCCGTTTCAGACATTTTTAGCCCCGCCACGGGGTCAGAGGTCACAAAATGCCGCTAAAAAAGCAGTGCTCATGTGTTCACAATATGGCATTTGAGTGGAGGAAAGGGGTTAAGAGCAAGAAGGAATATCCTTTGCAAACAGCACACATAGGGATGCTTTTAAATGAGGTTAGCTGTATTTGGGATCCTGTTTAGTTCATATAAGTCAATGGTTTATTATTACCATAAACTAAATGGTGCAAGATGCTGGACATCCACTATAACGGCATCAAAAAAATGTAAAGGTATAAAGAAGTGATGTCCACCAATGTAACATGCTGTTTTCTATCCCACGCGTGTGTGTGTCCATAGTTCTGCACCTATTTCTTCCATACATCTTCATCCCGCTGTGAAAGCGACCCCCGGCACTGTAACCAGCTCCGCGCGCACTCGCCTACGGAGGCAGCGTGGCTTTTTGGTGCATCGTTCCGGATCGTTTGCCCTCTAATAAGAAATTCTTTCAGCAGAGATCTTAGATCAAAGGTGTATCTGATCCTTCTCTGAATCACCCAGCCGTTTGATTTGTTTTTGCAAACATTTAGCGGTGCGTCTCCGATCCGATCGTCACAGACTACTGGACTGCAAGGCGACCCCCCCTTTTGTGACGCAAAATCTCAGCTCCCATCCTGCGCAACAAATGGTTTCTCCTCACGTGACTTTGTCCCCGCGTGTGTATCACTGCACAGCGCGCGACAGCTGGCAGGCCGACGCGCAGAGCACGAGGGAGCGTATTGAATGTCACGTCGTCCAACTAATCACTCGCTCGTGAATTTAACATTAAGTCGCCTCGCACGCCCTGATCGCACACAGGCGATCTCTATCTACCTTATAATACAACTCCCTGAAACAACACCTTCCCCCAGCAGTGGCTTCGCCGTGTGAGGGTGTGTCTACTTATGTAATCGAGCTCTCCTATTTATTTTCTCCTTTTTTTAAATTTAATATAGTTGTTTGTAGATTTGTCTTTGTCTCGTTTTAAAATGAAGCCCTTTGTATTGCAATTTGCGGGCAACAATCCTCGCAAGCTGCTTCCAGATAGTTTAGTAATCTAATATCGGTACGTTTGAATGAAGGATGCGGTCCTTTGTTTACTCAGCAGGCCACAATTATTACTCCGCAGAAACGCGAGTGTTTATGAGACAATGGAAACGTACTGTATTTAGCGGACACACAACTGGAACTGCCTCCGAGCTTCCAGCGGCCTTCTGATAGAAACTCAATTATTAACTTTGGTTTTCTACAAGTCAATTTAGCTAGAAGCAACAAAAATGTAAAAAAAACACTATTATTTAATATTTTTTTAATTTAAATTTCTATTTAAGTGACAACAAAAGACACTGATGAACCTGAAATAATCTAAACTGCATCATCAAACCCATCGCGTCCATTGAGAAAATATTATTTAAGACTGCGTAAGAACAGGAGGTGTAACAATAACTTATAAACATTAAAATGTAGACGTTTTGCAGGTTTACAACAACGTGATTGAGCTGAAACGGTTAATTTATCTACTTGTGTATTTCAGTGAGCATCCAATTAAAAGTCCAAAGTCCAATTAAAGATATCAAGATCTTTGACTGATTCAGTATTTTATTTTAGATAATTTTTAGAAAGACAGAACATGATGTCAGCGACAAAATCTGTGCTTTATCATTTAAGAAAGGACTCGGCTCCATGAAACAGTTGCTGGAATCCAATAGACTTAAAATACAAAGAAAACCAACACAGAGGAACAGGAAACGATTGCATATTTGGTTGCGTGTTTATTCACTCACTGACCCTGCAGGCTCCGTGTTTCACAATCGCACACATCAAAACCTCAAAGGTCATTAACATTTAACGGATCAGAAAGAGGACCAAGACTACTAACTATTAAAATCTGTTTGAGGCGCGTGCTTGTGATGATTCATCTCAGAGCAAATTCCTTCTGAAAGATAAATATATTTTGTGTTTATAGAAGCAAACGGCGTAACACAAATCTTTAACTGTTACTTTATGAACATGTTTGCAGCTTTTCACTGCTTCATTTTCTTCTATTTTTTTATATATAATTACAAAATGATGACAGAACTATCACATTCAAAACATGTAAAACCTCCCATGCACGTTTTAGACAATAAAAACAAGAGATGAAACACAAACACAACTCAACCGTCTTCTCTTCTGCTGTAATTAACCAACAGCAGCATCAGTCATTTCTCTCACGTGCTTCTGTCTCACACCGACTGGGTTCTAAATAACACCTTTCGCTTTGAAAAGGAAATGAAACCACAATAATCAACCAAAGCCTTTCAGGGTCCTCTTGCTTTGACAAACTGTTCCTGAAACGGGGTCGTCGCATCCTCCGACCCCTCTGCCCCGACGAGTACGTTTTTGATGTTCCCCTCGGCGTCCACGACCACGGCGGTCCTCCTCAGCTCCTCGTAGCGCGCCTGCCGCTCCGCCACCGCCACGCAGGCGGCCAGCACCTCCTCCGACTCAAAATCGTAATCCCGCTGCAGCTCCGGGGCGTTGAGGATCCGCTCCTTGGCCTCCTCCTCTTGCCGGGCCTTCGCCTCGGTCGCCAGGTGCTGCTTCCGCAACCGCCACGCCCACTGCAGGTCCTCCTGCCACAGGTTGCGCTCCGACGGGCACAAGTGGATCGCAACCTGGAAGGACCTCACGGCCTGCGGCACAAGAGCAAACGCAAGCTTTTCGTTGGGGCCTTTCGACGCTCGCAGGTTACGACATCGCCGTCTGAACGAGGCGGCTCGGTACGTCGTCAAACAGCACGGCTAACGTTCCTCGTGCCGTGTTGGGAGGCCAATTTATGGTTTCATTACGAGGACGTCAATAGCTCTCAGCTGACTCGGCAGTTGGCGATCGATGCGAAAAAAAGAAATAAAAAAAAAAGAAACAATCTACATTCATCCAAACGCGCTGTCTGAGGGGACTGATGACCTCATCAATCAGTGGTTAACGGCGGTTAACGGCGTAACGAGTTCTTCTTGAGGCAGTTCTCATATAAAACAGGAGGATTTAAAAGTTCAACGGAGAGAATTCAGCTGCTGAAAGCGATGGCGATCAGATTCTAGGTACCAGGTATCGAGTGCTTGTGTCCACCACAGAAGTGGCTTTGAGAACTTCGCCAGGGTGTCAACGGGTCGGTCTGGATTATTTTCAAAGGCAGTACAACCGTGCGAGGTGCGAGCGACGGGCGCAGTAAGATCCCGTCACCCGGTGGCCTCTAGTTCGTGTCGCCACTCTAAACTGCTTTACATTCACACAGTCTAAGGTACTTACTAAGGAGAGTGACAGGTCACAGGTCACAGGCTGAGGAGGACAAACCCCCCCCCACCGACCACAGTACCGACCACAGTGGCCCGAGTGCAGCTGAGGAGACGCGTGGACGACGGGTTTAACGTCCCGTCGAGGACAGCTCCTCCTTTGCAGCTGCACCTGCTCCGAGTGATGCGCTGAGCCGCACCTCAAAATCCAGTTAAATCAGTCCGTAACTCACTCCTGGTACTAAAGGTCTCGGGGCGAACCGGGGACACCAGTCGGACCGAGGGAGTGGATTTAATGTTTGAGACAAACAACCTTCCCAACCGGCTTTTCTCGAACGAGCACAAAACTCGCCGACAGTAAATTCTTGCCATGTAAAGCCGACGTTGAGTGAAATGTTCCCCACCTGTAACATAAATAGCTCCAACCAGTGATTGACAGTTAACTGTAATAGATTATAGAATCGGGACTCGGTGTGTTGCCAAAACAACACATCATATCACAACGTTGTTTCCAAAGTAGCCTTTCAACCGACAAAGTGCCACAGGAGGCGGATTAACCGGCTCGGCCGTCTCAGCGAGGAGAGGAGCGGCGTCCACCGCGACTTCCAATGCCTGAAAGCGTTTGCAGAAGTGAGAAAAATAATGAAATCAGAGGCTAAATCTTGGGTTTAATTGGGGTACTTTCCGGGGGAGGACATTGAAGGAGAATCGCATTTCTCAAACATGTTGACGCACACAAAGCTCTAAAACTTGACTGAACAGGCTCTGCTAAAAATAGATGTGGCGTTTTTATCCCGTGTTCCTTCCCAATGACTTCATCACAGCCACAAGGTGTGTCTATATTTGGTTTACCTTCAGCGCAGGTAACATTCAACCCTCCTCATTGTCGTTTTCGGTGCCCTAATTCAGGTCTCTCGCTCGCTGAGTGACAAGCGAACTGAGTGTTTGCTCGGCCCTGAGTGGGCGGAGACTGTGACTGAGATCTTGCGGGTTTCGCGCACAGCGTGTCCCGGCGTGTTCTGGGGCAGGTCGCAGCAGCGGCGCGAGTAAACAGAAATAACCGACAGCCCCGCTGATTTATGGTCGGCTGCAAAAAGAGGCGTTCCCAAAACATTACCTGATGAAACGGGGGCCCCTTGGGATGAAGGTGAGCGACCCGAAAGAGGCCAAAGGATTGTGACGGCATGGTGGTGCAACGCCCCCCCTCCTGCCCCCCCCCGAGCACACCAGCGCTCGCATCTGTTGAAGCGGCCGTTCGGCAACTTGTGACCTCTTTGTTTTTTTCCTTCGGAGCGCGTCGGCGGCCCGACTCACCAGGTCCACCTCTCCCAGGTTGAGCTGCGCGCGGCCCAGCGTCTGCCAGCCCTCCCACCACAGGGGGCGGAACTTCACCGCCATCTCCGCCGCCTTCACCGCGGGGAACACTTCCTGCAGGATGGTCAGCACCTGCAGAGAAAACACAAAGTGATTCAATGCGCTGCGGACAGCGCACACACGTGGGATTCACAACATTAACACCGAGCTGAAGTGGTTGAGTGTGAATATTTAAACACATTGCAGACAGAATCGCTTTTGGTTTCAGTCTGTTAGTTGGACAAAGACAGACGTTTGGAAACTTTAAACTTGTGGTCGGCGATTTCACACCCTTTTACAACACAGTTCCAACTAGCCTACGATGCTTCCCTTTAACACGGGTCATTAACCTCTTCGGACTCTTTGGAATCACCTTTCATCCGGATTCGTAGATACTTGCAGTCACGTTAGGATGGTAGATCTTATGCTTTGCTGCCATGTAGAAGACAAGCTGCCAGGAGACTTGAACCAATCATTGTGAAATTGCGTAACCGTTTGAGCAAACAAAAGAACACATTTAAGACTAAAAAGTGACTCAAGAGGCTCATTGGCAGCGCGTCCAGCAATGAGCCTCTACTACTCATAAACGTCTCTAAGGACCACAACGCGAGACAAGCTGCGCGACCGCTGACACGCACGAGGCACAGAGCTTTTGCTCCACACGTACCACAACGGAACACAGCAGTTGGGGTAAATTGGAAAAGCGCAACGGCCTGAGCTTAAATGCCGCACGCGGACGAGAGGACGCGACGACAAACGTCCTCCGGAACGCACAGACATTCGTAGCGACGCACCAGGAACAAGGCTGATCCGGTTACACAGGAAGGAAGTGAGGGCGCATCGTCGGGAAAACCACCCCTGTCATCTGGGTCAGTAATGGGAATATGATGAGGTCAAGTCTATTTAAAGGCCCGATAATGCAGAAGAACAAGTTGGATGAGCTTTGAGAGTGTAGTTGCAATAAGTCGGGGGCAGAACCCGAGCAGGAAATGTCTGTGCTGATCATCAGGGGGGGGGGACAATTCCATTTGTGGCGTTTTTTCAAATCTCGGTCCTCTAATGATTTCCTTCTCAAATAACCTGTAATGGATTATATTATATTACGCAAACAATGGTTGAGACTAGAGGGGGGTATTTAATTGTGTTTGTTGAAGTAAATGAACAAAGATGGATCCGAGTTTGTTTGCCTGCCTCCTATATGGGAACCATTTTTACCCAAAGATGCCATTGTTCAAAAAACAAAAATGCAGCTCAAACTAGCTGTGAAGTAGCGCATACAGAGAATGTTAACAAAAATAGTAGATGAGATGAAGGGAAATGAATATAAATGTACAATATACCTGAGACTTCATCTCATACAGCAGTGGGTTGTCTGGTGTCAGCTGGATGGCCTCGTCCAACTTCTTAATGGCCTCCCAGTGTCTAGAGGAAACACACACACAGACATTATCGAACTGGGGGATTAATCACATAAAAAGGGTTTATTGCATCATAATTGGTAACCGGGTCCGTCTGGTGCACTTTAAACCGCAGCGTGATACACAACTTATTAGAGGCGTCTGAATTATTTAGAGTGCATGCGTGTTGGCCGAGAGATCTCGCACAACATTGTGTCGGAGTCCTTGGAAAACGCGGCGCTGAAGCGTGACGGACGCAAACAGACAAATCCCAAAAAGAGATGAAATTGGACGCTCGCGTCCGTTGCCCGCGCCCTGAGATTTTATACGCGTGACGCGAGTTAACACACCGCCGCGCGCCTGTTTGGTGGGTATCGCGAAGCCATTTCCGCCGGGGATTTTTGCTGTGTCATGTGATAAGAGAAGCCAAACCTTCCCGATCTCGTCTAATATTAAATCAACTTTTAAGTGGCACAGATCGTATATTTTTTTTCGTTTTTTTTGCATTTTAGTTATTCCTCATTTTCACTCAAATAAAAAAGGTCTAAAAAGGAAAACGATGCTTTGTTCTGTAGACTTGGTGAGTGAGAACGGACAACACGCTACAAAGGAGCTCCTGATGCTGCACAGCCTGTGTCATCACAGTAAAAAGGTGTTGATAGTAAGTAATTGATTATTTTCCTGAGGTAAGAAATTCACATTCCAGAAGTCAATAGTCGTGGAGGGAAGCGAGCGACTGGCCCGGCGGAGCATTATGAATATGCTCGAGCTCACTGCAACTTCCCTCTCCTCCTCCGGTCAATATTGACTCAGGAGTCATTCCAATAGAGGGATCGAGTTCAGGGCTTGGGAAGATCATGAGGTGGAATCCTGAGGTGGACAACACGATGGGTCGTGTCTAGATGTTTTTACAGCTTAATCAAGAAAGATAGCCTGCAATTAAGACTAGAAATATAACTTTATCTTGCAATCAAAACTCAGCCAGAGCCTGAGAAAAGCCACCCCACGGCTATTCAACTGTGAGCGAGGAAAGGGAACTAGAGCAGTGGGGGGGATTGTGTTGAGACATGAGGCAAAAGATGGGGCAATTCCACAGGAGGAAATTAAGCAAAAAGTGAGCGGCGCACTAAAAAACGACTCCTCCGCAGTCACCACATCTCAGTGTGAGTCAATGGAAGAGCAGAGAGGGGAATTTGATGTAGTTGATAAAACAAAGAGTTACTTACAGGATGTCACGGTTCTGAGGAGAGTGGAGGGTTGTGGCTTATGGGCGGACTAGTCAGACAAATAAGCAAACTATGAGGACCATTTTGACGGTGACGAGACCGGCTGCCTCACAGCTGTTAAGACAAATAAATCGAGGCACGCGAGATGGTCTTTTTTTCGCCCCCAGTGTTTCTATGAAATTTGAGGCTGGTTTTGTTTCGTTTGAACGGGTGAAAGCTGATGTCCGAGGAAAGGAAAGAACTGAGCAATCATCTTCTATACGACCTCTTTGAAAGGCAAAGCCAAACGCCTGCTGAGCCACATCTACAAAGGAATACGCATGATCAAAAAAAAAAGTCTTCTCATTGTCTTCTCACACAAGGGCGCCTTATTTTCCTTTCATTTGTACATTTCACAACCAGCCTGTTCATGGTTGAACAGCAATGACAGGCCAGTCTGTCATCTTTAGCACGATTCTACTTGGTAGGCAAAACATCTTGTTGATCTTAAAAATGATGGAAACCGCAAAGACACTTTCATCACAAACACGAGGAGCTCTTCGATTACATCAGAAGCACTTAAACCTAAGTAATGCCAGACTTACATCAGACGACAATGTTGTTAGAAAAGGAAAACGTTTGACCAACATCCCCCCCAGCCAGACAAACCTCTAAACAGACATTACACAGCAGCAAGACATCGTTTACCCAATAAAATCCACTTTATCCTTGCAAATACGATTACGGGCAGTAACTAAGGGCAACGGCATCACATCTTCTGGCCCGAAGGGTTTTCTTTTTACAATGTGCTATGTGGCTAAAAAGGTCCATTATCCATAATAAATAACAGGTCCTGAAAAAAGTCCTATATTTTCGACTAGTAGTGTATTTTTTTGCATTTTGATTCACAAAATAAATGCAGTTTGAAAATTTTATGGAAGGGGTAATATCACTAAAAAAAAAATTCTTTCCCCATAGCATAAAAAACAGGGAAAACCTCACGTTGAGACGGCTCTAGGTTGCACCTTTGAATGACACTATTTATTTCACATTTTATCTCCAGTAGGAAGCGATTAGCGGTGCCAGTCGCCTCTCTGTACCACGGTGCCCTCCCATGGAGGGTTTAAAACATGACATGTTCCTACTGAACGTGTCTCTTCTAAAACCAAAACCGAGGTCGTCATCGCTTAAGACCGCTCGTAATAGCGTGTTTTCTTCCCCCCAACAGGTGAGTGAGCGCGTGCTCCCTCACCTGCCGTGCTCCGCCAGCGCCGCTCCTTCCTCCTTCAGCCGGCCGCTCTTGGCCGCGCAGTCCTCCATCAGGACCTCCCGCCGCCGTTTGATGGCGTGCAGCCAGTCCACCTCTTCGGCCGCTCTCGGCCCGGCGTCGTCGGTCTTCTCGGTCTTCGCTGCCTCGGCCTCAAACTGCTGCACCGCCGACTTTGAAACCTTCTCGCCGACTTTCCTCTTCCAGCCGAATGAAGCCATTCTGGGAACGGAAAATATACGGATACTTTTATTTTGAAATATCAGAAAACAGGCAAATTATGTTGTTGAACACGATGTTGCTAACATATACGTAACGGTATGTTCTCCGCTGTGGTTAGGTCTAATAATAGTAATGTGCTCTATTTAAGCACCTCAAAGTTAACTAACGTTAACTTAGTTGACTGTTATTAGCTAATGCTACATGAGTGAGATACAACATCACTAGCTAACGTTAGCTAGAATAACCCAGCTAGCCAACAATTGCACAAACGTCCGACACCTCGGGGGGTTTGCGGACACAAGTTTGCACTCTAGTGGGTTTTATCAGAGCATATTAACTAAATTTGCACTTGCAGAATTCTTCAGGTTTCCGTGGGGCAAGACTGGACAAGCTAACGGTTGTTAGCCATGTTGGTTGACCCGGAAGTGGTGGAAATGTTTACGTCGTCTCTTAAAGAAACACGAACCATTTGAGAGTGACGCTACATTGTGTCCAGCAGATGGCGCCACAGGGACGACTCAACATGCCATGAGAGATTTCATTTGACATAAAATTGGATTCATTCATTTGATTTAAAACCCTTTGTATATTATTCCACAGAATGCCCCAAACAAATGAGATCATGAACTCCATCGTGAGTTTTATACACTTTTCTCCTTGTAAGTCATTCCATGTTTGCAGTGAGAATAAGTAATCAGTTTCCTTAGTGTTGCATTGATCGTGGATGGTACCGTGTGACTTCATTTCGCAAGAGCCGTCCAAAGACAAGAAACATGCAGAGAAATTGTGAAATTTAGCAGTTTATTAGGCAGTTGTGTATACAAATGATTTCAACACTGTCCATTCAGATTTACACTGGTCAAACTGGGTCCCTTTACACAACAAACAAAAATAGAACAGTATTTCTTTGAAGCAGTCCAAACAGACTGACAGATCTGATCCGTCGACTAGGATTTCATCAACTGTTAAAAAGGTCACGGTTTTACACATTCATTTTTCCTACGAACCCCTTGAGAAGATTTGGAATCAAGACTTCAACCGCTCTATAAAATTAAAAGTGGTTAGTTTGAGAATATCTTTTCATTCAAGACCATAGTGTGTTTCTTCACCATGATCAGTGTTTTTCATATACTCTGGTTTAAAACTGAGCTATCAAAGGTAACATTTTTACTGGATATTTCCGTCCAGGATGGCAAGAGAAACAAGTTGATCACAATTACTGTCCTAATTGGCAATTTTTGTTTACATCAGATTTCTGAAGCGTAAAATGTTTTTACCAGTGGGATAGTTTAGATTTTTAAAGCCGCAGAGCTAAACACAAGAAACCGTGAGCAACTCCTAACACTTCTTAAGGCAAATAAAGTCAACCTTTGTTTAGGTGACTGATATTACAATAGTAATGTCTTAGGGTCCTAAAAACCTGGATCAATGGATTAAAGAAAGAAAAATGAGGATCATTCTTTAAAAAAAACAGTTTACCGTTCAAGTTGGCAATCAAAAAGTGTTAGCAGTTACCGAGGTCCACGTGATTTGGGCCACAACAATCGGATGTTGATTTTAAGTTTTGCAATCATGAATTTTCTGAATTTTTTGGTAATGAAAGCACTCAAAAGTAATCTGTGATTTTTAACAGCAATTGTGAATGAACACTGACAAAATTATTTGTGGACTTCAACACCTACAATTGCAAAAAGTGCCAATAATTAGCATCAGCACTGGATTCCATCTTTTACTGACATATAAACAGTACTCTTAATGATAAGGCAGCCAAACAACAGACAGCTTCAGACCTTAAGACTGGACAGGAAATTAAGGAAGATTCATCATTGCGATTAAAGATAGATATCTATATAGATATATATGTATATATATTCAAGACCTTTCGAGCTTGCAAGATGATGATATTGTCAGACATTTTTCTTTATCAAATATAAATCACCAACGCTTTTATGATGTGTTTTTTTTCTTCTACAATAACCACAAATTGACTCAGCATGACTCAACAATTAAAGCTCACAAGTTTGTTGCAGGTTGGTTTTTAAAAACCTTTTCCAAAGTCAACTTTTAAGGGGACTCGTGGGCAAACAAAATCATTTAAAAAACATCCAAAAATTAAAATATTCTGGATTAAGTCCCTCCGCCAATTGACATTTTTTCATGCACTGCATGTAATTGCTACTGTTGGTTTTTAATTTGAGCCCTGAGGCTTATACACTTTTGGTGGATTGGGATTCAGAAAGTGGATGTATAATAAAAGGGCATCTCATTCAGTGATTATACTCAAATCCTAATCCCCCAAAAATGTACAACCAAGAAAGGAAAAAATGAAACAATAAGTGAAAACCCATCTTGCCCTTTTTGTATGTGATACGGAAAAAGATATTTCTAGATTCTGACTGTCAAATTACCTGGTAAAAGCAGGCTAACTATTTGAAAACACAATTGACTATTAGAATAATTGTGATTGAGGGAACAAAGCTGCGAAATTGATTTAAAAACCAGTTAGTTAAAAAAAAAGAAGGAAATATACCATCCAGCAATAGATTTTGATGCAAAAGAAACCAAAAAACAAATTCCATTTCTAATAGAACCAACACTCCGTCCACTGATAAATATATTCATGTCTTTATGTATAAAAATGTAGGGGACAGAAGAGTCAAACATTTGTTTACAAGGACACAAATCATGAAAATTTTGTCTGACAACTCAAGTTAACTCAAAAAGAAATGCAAACATACGGTACCAGTCCTACGATTGGACACTTTCCTGTCGAATTGAATGACAAACTGCGTCCAAACTTTTGACTGGTCCTGTACATCTGATGAAGCATTCGCTCGTCCCTGACACAAGCAAAGGGGTCATTGCAGCTTTTCAGATTCCAATGAATGTGATCGGCATGGCAACCCTTGTCATAGCCTGTGCAGAACCCTGATAGATCGGCACCACTTCTCCTTTCCCCACAGAGACACACACACACAGAACAAAAAAAACAAGAGCAGCAGGAAACAAAAGAATCTTGTGCAAAAGTGCCGCCTGCACCCTATACAACTGCCACCCAAACACCCAACCCTCATCACGTGGCCGCCTCCTTTGCAGGCAAAAACTTGATCTTGTTCTCTGTACTGAGAGCAGTGCTCACTGGCTACAGTACAGACAAATTCAGTGTAATCACTTGCGCGTGTATGTATACGTTGATGCAGACATTTACCATTGAATTGATCAGGGAATTGTAGAACCCCCCCTCCCCTCTAAATGTTGTTCTGTCCTAGCCATTGAGTAGCCAATCTTTCCGAATAACCCTTTACAGTCCTCGTCAGCTCAGTATACATCCCGTCCCCTTAGGGCACACTAACCTGGGTCAGTGCCATGGAACGGTGGCTTCATCCTCAGCTGGGATGAATTGAGCCATGAAACAGTTGCATGCTTATTGCTATAAAGACACTCGGAGAGGAAAAAAGGCTAACGATTGTTTTGCGAGCTATCGTGCAAGTAATTTAATAAGATTCGCACACATCTCAAAGAACTCGATGGTGTGGCTTCCTGGTCGAGGCACAGTCGGGGTGTCCGCCCCTCCCGTTGATTCGATGGATGAGGTCAGCGATGAAGCTAGGGAGCCTTCTGCGGCCTTGGTGGGGAGCACAGTGCTAGACGCAGCTTGAGCATCTGGCCCATCTACATCGTTCTTAATAGTGGTGCGGTAGTTGCCCACGGACCCGGATCGGAGAGGGGTGGCAGTTCCAGATTTTGTCTCCAACATATCATCTAAAGAAATAAAGGACATTGGTTTGATACACACAAAAAAGAAAAAGACCTTGAAAATGAGATTATATTCCCAGTAGAAAGTGTATATGCAGTTCTTGTAAAGTAGTAAAAGGAAGTCCCTCAATAAAAGACCTTGAAAGTTACTTTAAAATTCAGCCTTCCATTCCTGAAAACCATCTGTTACGACTGCAGCGAATGCTGTGGCTGACTTGGCAGCAGCGAGAAGTCAAAATCTGGTCTCATGCCCTTTGCACAGCATGCCTTGGCTACGTTAATTCGGCCCATAACAACACGCTTATCTCACATTTGCCTTTGAGGTACCGCTGTGCAACAACAAAGCCTAAGCCCTTAACCCCGAGTCAATCATTTATGAAGGCTGCACCGCCGCAGGGAACTACAGGATAGAGATCAGGTGAACAACACAGAGATACAGGCGGCTCAGTGGCAGAATGTCCCGTGCATGTTGACGGGGTACAAACTCACCGTCTATGCTACGGAAGTCGAGGAGGTAGGTTCTGCTGTCCACTTGGTAGAGCTGGAGGCTCATCTTGGTCTGCATCCCAGTCACGGGATTCTTCCTCCTCACGCGCAGATAATAAGGATTCACAACCTGGAAGAGTTACGAAGGGGTGAGGAAACAACAACTTAACAATACACCCTCTTTCCAAATTGTTAATAACAGTTCAGTTATTTAATCTCAACATTAGTGCTTAAATGTGTTTAAGAGCATCCTGACTCTTATTCTCTGCTGGTGGAGTTCGTCCCTCACCTTCCACTCATAATCCAGCTGTTTCATGGCCCGGCACACCTCCGACATGATATCGTTGGGTCTACTCTGACTCCTGATGCCCAGGTGCCACTTGGCCCTCCTGACACCCTGGTGCTTGGACTTCTGGGGGTTCAACTCGTCCAGCGTGTGGCGGGGCCTGGGCGGCGTCTCCGCCAGGAGGAAGGGGACGCGCTCGGGGTGCACCTTGACGATGCCGGACACCGACGCGCCGGACGCGGTCAGGTGCTGGTCGTCCAGGAAAGAGTCGGGGGGGCTGGAGGCCAGGTAGAAATCCTTGGCTTCGTTCATGATGCGGCGATTGTCAATGATGAGATGGTAGGCGACGGCCAACGGATCTTGGTGGTTGCGACTATATATGCAGGTCAGGACCTCCTCCTCTGTGCACTCAAACTTGTCACACACCTCCTTCAGGGCCTCGTCGTCGATCATGTTGTTGCTGTAGGAGGGGTCCTCCGGGAACAAGTACTTGGGTAAGCCCTGCTTGAACCACTCATCCTCTCTGCAGGAGGACACGTTACTTTATTAGTCAAGCAAAACACAGACCATGAATGAATCCCAATGAGTCTACAGAAGACTAGATGGTTAAAAGCTGCAGTTTGACGTGGTAATTAATCACCGGATCTCCTTGATGGTGGCTCTCTTCATGGGGTCCACCTGGAGCATGTGTTTAAGGAGGCTGATCACCGAAGGGTTCAGATACTGCGGAGTGAAAAAGATTCCGTCGCAGATCTTCTTAAAGAGGGTCGGCACGTGGTCGTCATCGAAGGGAAGTGTCCCACACAACAAGGCATAGAGGATGACTCCACTGCTCCAGATATCGACCTCTGGACCAGCATACAGCCTGGGGATGGGTAGAAAAGATGAAGCCACACCTCGCTACGTCCGATTCCCTTAG